GGAGTCCCATGTGCTGATCCGTGTGCCTATAATCTTCTCTCAAGAGACGTTGCAGGACAGGAGGCATTGATGTGTGTGTTTGAGTGGTGGTGGTGGGTTAAGATCAGTGTTGCCAGTCCCTGAGTGGGGGCTGGGGATCCCCCACCACAGCTCCTGTTTCCCACAATTGTGGGAGGAAAATGAAAAAAACAAAATGGCTGTCAGGCCTATGGCATGAAATCACTTCTGGGGGGAGCCCAGAAATGATATCACATCTCTCTAGTAATTGCTGAAAACCCTATAGTAACACCACAGAAATTTCCAGTGATTCCAAGAGATGTGTGAAATCACTCTCATGTTTCCCTCCAGAAATTTTCCCTGAAAACTCTATGGTTTTACAACAGAGTTTCTGGGGATTCCTAGAGAGGCATGACATGACTTCTGGATTTCCCCCCAAAGTGGTATCACACTATTGTAGGGTTCCCAAATGTGCCCGGGGGGCGGGGAACCCCCCACTTCGGAGCCCCCGAGTTCCGCCCCGGAGGAATCCGGGCCCGGGGGAAACCCCGCCCCTGAAGCTGCGTCAGCGGAGGTGACGCAGTCACATCGCTGACGTTGGAGGCGTGGCTGAGCTCGTCGGGGTGGAAAACCATATGTTCCCCCCCCCCGACGAGCTCGGCCCCGCCCCCAACGTCAGCGACGTCTGACGTCACTTCTTGTGACGTCGCAGCGGCGCGCGCGCAGGGACGAACGGCGAACTCCCGGCCGGAACGGAGCCTCCCCCACTGGTGAGTTAAAAGGATTTGGCAACCCTACACTATTGGCAACGGCTTCCCCCTTATAACCCCCCCATCTCCCACTGCTTGCCAAGGGGAATTTTCTGTGTTGCACAAGGGTTGGACTAGATGACCCTTGAGGTCCCTTCCAGCTCTGTGTTCCACTTGGGAAGGCTCAGGGTCGTAATGCAGCTCCTCCTTCCACTGCCAGCTGGCTGAGTTTCTGTTTGGGTCAGCTGGTGGTGCTGGGGAGCCACAGAGGGCTGCCGACTGCCACACTGCCACTCTTGATTGCTCTTCATGGTGCTCCACCCTCAAGCCCCTCCACCATTTTTAAGGAGCCTCACCTTGCCTGCCGATGCTGCGGTGAAGCAGGCCGATGCTCCTGGCAAACTGTCAAGCAGCTCAAGAGCCAAGTGAAAAGCTGCTGTGTAGGAATTCCCTCCTGGGCCATCATTGACATATTTCCATGAGGTTGACTGCTTTCAGTGTGGGTGGAAACCCAGATCCTGCCCTGCCTTCTCCCAGGCAGCAGGGACTCCACATCTTACCCCGCTCACAGCCTCACTGTAGCAACTTGCAGGGCCGAAAGCACCACACAAACTTCCTGGGGGCCTCTGTGGAATGTGCAGGGCCCAGGAGGTAGGCTTGCCAAGTCCCCCCGGGGGGCAGGGAAACCCCCGCCCCAGAGGCCCATTCCCCGGCAGCGGCGGATTGAGCCCCGGGGGGAACCCCGATGTGCGCGTCACCAGGAAGTCACCTCTTTGGGACTCTTACCACAGACACAAAACTTCCTACTAACCACCACTTGGTATTCAAGAGCTGCACATTTGGGTTTCAGCACTTGGCAGAAGGGAAGGGGAAAGGGGAGGCAAGGAACACACTTTGACAGAGGTCTTAGAAAGAAAAGGATGAGGCTCTGAGGGAGACTGGGAATGATGATGGAGACTGGGTTAGAGTAGAGTAATCCAAAAAAGTGGATGTAGCAGGAACTGAAAGACAGATTTCCATCCAAAGGAAGACTTGAGTATGTTAAAGCACCGAACTCTCAAATGGCCAAAAAACATGGTCAGAGGCAGGATTTGGGAGTTGCCACAGGGAGAAACTGTTCCAGAGAGCCCTAGTGTCAATGGGACCAGCGGTGTAGACTTTCCAATTTCCCGGGGGGGGCTGGGGCTGGACCAGAGGCATTGCTTTGCTAGGAGCAAGGGTGGCTCCCGGGGGAGGCTGAGTATCTTCCTGAAAATTTCGGCGGGGGCTCACGCCCCGCCGCCCCCACGAAGATTACGCCTATGAATGGGACTGGGGTCCTGCAGGATCAGGCAAATAAGGCAATAATGATTCCAAGTTTCTGTCAGTCATCTTCTTTGCTTGGAAGGAATGTGGCACCTTGCAAGTGCCCTGGGCACTTTTTACACAAGCTAAACAATGCAGTTTCAATCCACTTCAGAAACCATTTGTGAGTGGATGTTGCCATTTCACACAGTAAAATCCAGTTGCAAAGTGGATTAAGATAAGAACATAAGAGACGCCAATGTTGGATCAGGCCAAAGGCCCATCCAGTCCAACACTCTGTCACACAGTGGCCAAAAATACCAGGTGCCAGGTCCAGCAGTGGGGCCATTACATTAGAAGCCCTCCCACTGTTGACCCCCCCAAGCACCAAGAAGACAGAGCATCACTTGCCCCAGAGCCCCTATCTATACCTTGTGGCTAATAGCCACTGATGGACCTCTGCTCCATATGCTTATCTAATTCCCTTTTGAAGCCGTCCATGCTTGTAGCTGCCACCACTTCCTGTGGCAGTGAATTCCATGTGTGAATCACTCTTTGGGTGAAGAAGTACTTCCTTTTATCCGTTCTAACCTGACCGCTCAGCAATTTCATTGGATTGGATTGAAAGTGAATTGAAAGTATGTTTTTTCTTGTGGACTAGACTGAGTTGAAAGAAAACTTTTTTTGCAGCCTCATTAATGTGCATCTCCAGCAGTAATGCTGGATCCGGTATGATCCCATAGGCTCTGAGTCAGCAAAACCCCAGCTGAACCCCATTAGAGATTCTTCAAGATCTCCACCTTCACAGCCAACATAATTTCTATCTTGTCTGGGCTCAGTTCAATTTGTTCAGTTTGTTCACTTTCAGACATTTAACCAGAGCAGTCAGGCAGTGGCTCATCAGACTTCTACCTCATCACCAGGGGATTTGTATGGAAAGAGGGCAGCATATCATCAACATATTGATGACAGCCAGTTCCAAAGATACAAATGATTTCTACTAAAGGCTTTACATAGAGATTGAATAAAATGCAGGATAAGACTGTGCCTTGTGGAACCCCACAGGACAAATCCCACACTGAAGATAACCAGTCTCCAACAGCAACTTTGAGTCCAGTCCATGAGGAACCATTTAAACCAGTCCAAGGCACATCCCGTTCCCTACTTCTGCCTCCAAACACCTCAGCAAGATGACAAGGTCTGCTGTATCAATGGCTGCAGATAAATTCAGCTGGAGCACCAAAGAGGCATGGCCTTTGTCTGCATTCAGATGGTGATCATCAACTAAAGTCACTGACCAAGAAATCCACTGAAGCCGTTCCATCCCATAGGCCAGCATGAAACCAGAAAAGCGTTGAGAACAGATGAGTTATCCAAGAAGACCTGCAGCTTGTCTGTTACTGTTCTCTCAATCACTTGAGATTAGAGGCTAGGAAATAGTTGGCCACATCATTTTTCTGTAGGAATTTTTTAAAAAAGTAATGGGCAGATAACCAAAGTCTTTGAATGGCTGAGGGAAGGTACCCTGGGTTAGTGACTGATTTATTATAGATATCAAGGGCTTATTAATGTGGTCCTTACATGATTGTAGTAGCCAGGATGGGCAGGGATCCAGACCATGTGGTGACCTTCACAGATTCCAGGGTTTGCCATGTATTCCTAATTTAGAAATGGTTACCTAATTAATGCATCCTCTCATTTCAATGGTTGATACTTTCCCAGATGTGGGATGGCCATTCTGGCAGCCTCCACAAATATGCTTCTTATGCTTTTGTTCCTATTATGGTCAAGCCCTGTTACACACATACATATCTTTCTTGCACAATCAGGAGCTAAACATTACTGGGTATGGTATGGTATATCACCATATACAACATATAGTAATCACAGGAACATAAGAAGAACCTGCTGGATCAGACCTAGCATCCGGTTTCATACACTGGCCAACCAAAGAGAGCCTAGAAGCCTCCTAATACTGGTGTTCAAAATTTATTGCCTCTGGACATGGAAGTTGCCTTTGGCTATGGATGGAGATATACAACCTATTTATTTCTTCCTTCATCATAGCTAAATTTTAATAGGCTTGAGCCCAATTCATCCACTGCATCTCCTTTTTGTTTCAGCTGCAGCAGACTAATATGGCTATCCCAAAGCAATCTGAAGCCTTGTTGATTGTAGACATTTCCCCTGCAATTAATGATGACAGTAAAACCACAACCAGAGAGGTAAAATTGTTGGGATAGCGCATCAGAATCTCAGTTAAACTGGAATTAAAGCCAAACTCCTTTTCAGCTGGAGACAAAGTAGGCTTACTCAGATCCAAGTTCCATTTATTTTGATGAGATTTACTCCCAAGTAAAAGGATTGCAGCTTTTGGGTCATCTTACAGACCACTTTCAGGATGCAAGTTTACACATAGTTACTTAAACCCTCTTGACTTTAGTGTGGCTTATTTCTAAGTAAACATACACAGAATCGGACTACAGAGCAACAATCCTAAATCCTTTCTTGAAGCAGTCACACTGAAATCAATTGATGGGTCACTTGCTGTTGCAGGGAGACAGCATGCTATTGAACTCCTGTGGCTGGTATTATAGGCGTCCAAACTATAGTCCTGTTAAGTTTGGAGAAATTATTTACTGCTGGAGCACGCCAGACAGTTTGTTGTATTTGAGACACAACAATATTCCAGACCACCACCTGCCTACAGTATAGCATAATTCTTCATCGTGATCCAGAAAGAGGTTCTGTGAGAGGATGACGCTGCTTTCTGATTCTCAGTTCCTTAGTCAAAGCAAGGGTGCAGAAGCCAGACCCGCCTTTCTGCTTTTCGAGACTGGCCACAACTAGCTCCTTTGCTCACTTCGACTTCCAGCTGTCTGCAGAAAGCGGAGCGCTCACATCAGCTGACTCGGTGTTCAGACCGCCCAAACTGGTCAGGTGACCAGTGGAAGGAGGGGAACACGTGACTGGCCGCAGCTGGGTTCGGAAGGGATTTCCAGTTGCTCTTTTCCATTGCCCCTTTTCTGTGTAGGTTGGTATCTCTGGCAGTTCGTGCTCTGACAGTGCTGGGGTGCGCGGTTTTTGCAGGTGCTTTGGTGGGTGCTGCTACCTCATTGGAGGGGGGTCTGGTTTGCAGTTAGCGATTTGTTTTGAGCATGTAGCTTCTCTCTTTTTATACTAAACAAAGCCGCAGAGAGGAGTATATGAGAGACTAGGAACTTCAGTTCCACTCCTTGGTGAGTCTGGTGAATGCATGTTTGTTTGCTTCTTTAAATGCTTCCTTTCACTTAAGCTTGTCTGCTAGCAGTCTGGAGGTTGCTGAACTATTTCTACAGGATCTCTTAGGGTGACTATATAGAATTCGTGTTGTGTGTTCTTTAGTCGCCTGTTGTTGGAAGAGTGAAATGGTACACGTCTACTATGCTCTGGAAGCTTTAGTTCATGGTTCCCCCCTGGGGTTTTTATGCCTTACTCTATAAAGGTGGCATCCACCCATGAAGCTTAATGCTTTTCTCCAGTGAACTATTTGCAAACTGTTGCTTAGATGTGGATTTGCAGGTAGGCTGCTGTGTTGTAAGTGCATCCGTTACTTCACAGCAGCCAAAGAAGCAAGTGTAACTCATGTATTAGCTGTCTGTCAATTGGCTTTGAATGGTGGCTGTAATTCGCTGGGTTGTTCTAATACCCTAGGGAGTTCAGACAGTATTGCAGTCTCTGAGTGGAGTGAATCTCTGTTCTGTATATAGTTCATCCCCAAAGGATGATAAAGAAAATCAAATGTTTGTGTTGAGCCACCTCATGTTCCCTCTCCAAGGGCCAATTCAGATGTTCAGAAAAAGGCAGTGTTTGTGGTTAATTGTTGGGCTTCCATGCCACACCATCACACAGTGTATCAAGACTGTCTGTGGAAGTCATCAACTACCTCTAATTTGTTGAGCTACTTTCCTGGGCACCAGGGTTCCCAACCGAGATTGAACTGTGTTTCAGAATCCTGATTACTAGGAAATAATCTCATCTCAAAGTATTAATGCAATTGGAGTTCTGTCATCAGTCTCAGGGAAGGAGTGTTCAAGCCCAGCAATCACCATGATGTGTGCTGATCACAACCAAATCTAGTTTTGGTATGAAGAGGCATAGGCTACTCTGTAGAGTCCATCGAGTTCGTAAGAATCCTGTTTCATCAAGATGGGAGCACTCTAAGTAATAGTGAGGTATCTTTCATCCCTACCTTTAAAAAATCATTTCTGGCTAGCATTTGTTTCTTTTTAAAATAAATTTGTAAATGAAAATATAAATTGGAACAGTACAGCTGGATAAGTGCTTGGGTGACAGTGAATCAGAAAGATACCCCCGTGCCCCCCCCCCCGATTCTTTCCAAAACTCCTAAGGGTTCTGAGCCACCCCTCTCACAATGCACAGTGCAGCTGCTGGGGTAACAAAATACCTTTTGCTGGCAGTGAATGCAACTCCCTTGATATTCTTAAGATAATGCTTACCAAAAAAGAATGGGTAATGTGGATCATGTTGCATAGGAAACCTATCCCGTAGACAGAAAACATTGCTCATGTTTCTCCTTAGAATACTGCTGGAATGTACAGATTTTCCTAAGCATGCGAAGCTTGCCCCACTGCGTGCATTTTAAAGTGCATTCTCTGAGAGGGGAACCATCATTCCATTTGCACATACTGCCTGGGAATGGCTGGGCAAGACAGATCCTGTACAATTGTCCTACTTGCCCAATTCCAGGATTTACCAAGACAGCAGAAGGGAAGGAAAGCCCCTTCAGTGCCCTTGTGCATTTTTAGAGGAATTCATATGCTTCCTCTCCAAAGACCTATTTATGCAGATAGGATCTATCACTCCTGTTTTACAAGGACAGGAAAATGAGGATAAGATTTGCTGATGGGATAGGCCATCCCCAGTGAAACTTAGAAATGCAAGGACAGTTGTTGTCCTGCCAGCGTTCTGTAGATTGTGCAGCTGCTGTATGTATTAGCTGACTAATCTATGCTGTCTGCTGTGAGGGGAAAATAAATACATGTCACCATTAATGCTTATCTCTGGGGGGGGGGGGCAGGCTGCACACCTTTTCATCATGCCGGAGTCTAGGCCCTCCCCACCTTGAAACAAACAGCCATCACGGAAGGGAGGCAGCGGTGTGGCAAGGGTGCCCATACCCGGTCAAAACCTACATCCCCAGCATTTAAAGTGCTTGGAATGTAATTGAATTGCTGTTTACTACTTGATAGGCCAATTTGGGGTTGAAAGTTGAGTGAACAATATAACCAGCATCTCTGTCCCACACCCTGGGAGTCTCTCTGTATAGGTAAAAAGTGCATGAAGTGCCTGGAACTCTGGTCAGTACTTGGCCACTTCTTTTCAGGACTTTGGATTTTGGCATCTACTGTACTCACTGTGGGTGCCATGGGAGGCAGATGATTGTAATGCTGCATCTCCTTGGAGAAAAAGAGATCCTGGGTGACAGTGTCTTATGGCAGTGCTGTTAAGGTGACATATGTCAACTGCCTGCAATGCTTGCTTTCCCATGTCAGGAGCAGGAAGATCAGGCCCACCTGCATAAGTGACCCAAGTAGCCGCTTGGATTGGCAACACTTTTAAAGCAATTGATCAAGTCTGGTATTGTATGAAATGCGTATACAACATTTCAGAGCAAGCTATGGCACACCCTAGCAAAATGTCTTAGCCCAGCCCTGGCAGTGAGAACAAGAACTAGGAATATGCTTTCCCCAGACAGTGCAGGTGATGCTGATGAATCCACAGTTCCATAGAGCCCTGGATGAAGATTCCTTCAGGCTCATAGGAGGTTCTCTCTTTGCCGTCTTCAATAACAAGAAGAGAAGATCAGTCACTGCACAAAAGCACAGCAACCAAATAAAGTGGTTTCAGTTCCTTGCTGATGTTGGGAGTTAGCAGCAGAGTTATGGGGAACCTTATATGCTTTCTGTTTCTCACCAAAGCTGCCTGATGTGCTTGAGGATGAAAAGAGAATGTGAAATGCTCTTATATCCACAATGTTAAATGCTGGCTTGCTTGGAGTATGAGCAATGTGCAGGAATTCCATTCTCTTGTTTTATGTCAGCTCCATTCCTCAGCCCAGACTTGTAACTGGTTTCCTTGTGCCTAATCACCTGTAAAGAGTAAGGATGGCTATCACATAATCAGGCAGAAAAAAAGCTTTTCTAAGTGGATGTTTCTTGGGTCACAATTAGCTAACACCAGTATGAGAGAGCCGATGTCAGAGTCTGGGTGTAATACTCTGTATTCCCGCCTAACCCCTCATTCCTGACACTCTGGCAGAGTCCCAAGTCAATCACACTCAACAACAGTCCTTAAGAGAGGTGCAGTTTATTGAGAGAGGTACTCAGGTCATCATGCGACACGCTTGTGTCAGGAATGGGGGGCTGGCGGGAATACAGAGTATTATACCCAGTTCATACAGGTCCTCCTGACGGCCGTAGACCAATAAGCAGGGGCAAGCAAGCGTGCTTAAAAGAAAACGGCCCTCGCTCTCAGCGGTAAAAAGCAGTGCAGCCGAGCTCAGCTCCAGGGTCACAGTAGAGATAACGGGAAGAAACCAGGAGCGCATACCAGGAGGAGAGGGGAGCTGGGATGAAAGCGGCGAGGAAAACACAATCCAAGCCATGGCGGCATTAGCCGACAGCCAGTGGGCTAGTAAGAATGTTGTGGGCCGATAACTTTGATGGATTTTTTCTCCTTGTAAATTCCTTAGTTCTTAAATGGTTTTAGTTTGCTGATTTTAGGCTTAAATGCAATATGTGTTTACTCTTTAAACATATCTTGCATCAAGAACTCAGGAGTAGATTGCCACCCTGTCTGTCTCATGTTATGTGTCTGGATTGTTGATAGCCTGATAAAATCAGTGAGGTTTTTACTTCACAGTAGCCTCTAAAAGCTGAGTGGCTCCTTGGAGAGCTTCTAGTTCTACTGTTCAGGTCGGCCATGGTCTCTCCTACCCTTTACTTATGGCATGTTGGTTTTCTGCTTCTGAAGGGCTAGTGGGATGGTGCCAGTTCTTCTTGCCCCGCCCAATGTGTTCAAAGTGTATTTGTTTCACAGCCTGCATACCCAGCCATCCCACTGCAGAGCAGAAGTCACGAGGGCGCTTGGGCACCTGGCCCAGTAGGATATGTACATTGAAAACACTTCCTGGTAACAGTGCCCACACGCATCCAGAAACCTGTTGCTGTGTTGTGAGATCAGAGTTACTTTAATCAGCTGTAAAGTTGTTTTGCCCCATTCCCACCACATTTCTGAGCTCTCTCAGGACCAGTGCTCGCTCTAAGCAGTAGAGACTTGTGAGCAAAAATTCTACTTTGTGAGCTACTGGCATTAAAGTTGTGAGGAAGCTATTTGGCTACTGCATAAATTGGTTTGCTCTGGAGCCATCCTTCCTGAGCTAAGACAAAAATGTTTGAGCTGGAGACTAAAAAACTGTGAGCTAGCTCACACTAACTCAGCTTAGAGGGAACACTGCTCAGGACTGATGTCAAGAAAGCCGGGTCAGGGCAAGGCACAGCATGAGGCAGAAGTGTACTGACTGATAGAAGGTATCCAGACCAACGGTGGCCAACCTTTTGGGCAAGTGTGCCACAAATCCAGTGCAATACTGTTGAGTGTGCTGCTCTCATGCATGTTAGGCAACATTTGTAGTGCCCATCCCTCTGCCTTGGAGTGGAATTGCCCATGCTCTGCTAAGGGAAGGAAGAAGCAGCTGTGCAGCTCAGTATAAACAGGCAGAAGTGCAAGCCTGCTGTTATGCTTCTGTGAGTCCTGCAGAATCTCTTGCTCCTCCTGTCCAAATGGACAATAAACACCTGCTTCCTGTTCCCATATACTGTAGGCTGGCCATCCATCCTACTGAGTTTCAGCACTGTTTGCCTCTGTTATCTGTACAGTGATAAAAAAATAATGGGAGAGGAGAAGAAGAAGAAGAGATTGGATTTATACCCCGCCCTTCACTACCCAAAGGTGTCTCAGAGTGGCTTACAAACTCCTTTCCCTTCCCCTCCCCACAACAGACACCCTGGGAGGGAGGCGGGACTGAGAGAACTCTGACAGAAACTGCTCTTTTTCCAAGAACAGCTGTGCCGGAACTATGGCTTGCCCAAGGTCATCCAGCAGCTGCAAGTGGAGGAGTGGGGAATCAAACCCGGTTCTCCCAGATTAGAGTCCGCGCACTTAACCACTACACCAAACTTAAGAATAGTGCCAAAAATGGCAGTGACAAGTGCTGCCACTCTGATAGGAATTGGGAGCCCTTGAGTCCTTGGTTTCCTAATACAAACAGTTTGAAAAGAACTGAACAAAAGAATGGACAATGCAGTGGACTATGGAAGTGAATGGAAATAATGTCTAGCAGCTTACTTGAGGTATAGACAAGGCATGTTGGGAGATGGGTCTCTTATTGAAAGGTACAGCTTTGTCACCTCTGTCTCCAGCAGCGATCCATCACCTTGTGGCCATGAGCCTGGTAGTCTTTGTCTTCATATTGGCTCTAGCCTCCTTCTGCCAGGCTCTGGAGAACGGGCTCATGAGAACACCCCCAATGGGTTGGCTTGCATGGGAGCGATTTCGTTGTAATATTGACTGCAAGAATGATCCTCAGAATTGTATCAGGTAAGTGAAAGAACTTCGGAAACAATGCAGTCTGAACTAAGCTCAGCTCTGTTTTTGTGGGACAGATCCCTTGCAGAATGCTCAGTGTTGCCCTTTTTCCTGCCATAGGCTACAGGTCTACCTTTCACCAATGCTCCCTCTAAGCTGTGGAGTCTTGTGAGCAAAAATTCTACTTTGTGAGCTACTGGCATTAAAGTTGTGAGTGAGCGATTTGGGTACTGCATAAATTAGTTTGCTCGGGAGCCATCCTTCCTGAGCTAAGACAAAAATGTGTGAGCTGGAGGCTAAAAAACTGTGAGCTAGCTCACAATAACTCAGCTTAGAGGAAACACTGCCTTTCCCTATTGAACTTTCTGACTATCCCCCCCACTGTTTTCTACTCCTCAAATTATGTTTTCTTGACAGCTCATTGCAGCTTCTTCTGGACAAAGATAACCTGGCCACAGTTAGCCATACTATTGTAACACCTGAGCTGGATTACTACAATGAGTATGCTTGGGGCTGCCCTTGAAAATTGTTTATAAATGTCAACTGGTTAAGAATGTGGCCCCTAGATTACTAACTGAAGCATGTCAGTTTGATTGTCTCACACCAGGATAAAAGATCTGCACTGGCTGGCAGTATGTTCTGGAGTACAATTCAAGAAATGGATTTTGACCTTTGGAGCCCCATAGAGCTTTGGGGGCTTGGCAGTGGCTGCCTGAGACTACTGCTGCCCTGTCCCCACCCAGGAAGCCAGAAGAGCTAATGCTTCTTGCCTCTTCATTTCCCCCCAAGCTTTTCTAAAACAAGCATGGCAAGTTGTGCATACCATGGCTGTTGGGAATTCTCGAACAAAATGGTGGCCAAAATTCACAAAAACAAGGGATCGCACAAGATTTTGGGAAGCCCTAAAGGGCATGGATAACTTTCTGTGCTGCTGAGAGACTGGGGGAGGAGATGGGAAGTATTAGTTTTTTCAGCTCTTAGCACAGAGGCAGCAGCAAGGTAAGTGCAAGGTACAGAGGGGTAGGAAAGAGGTTGCTGTCCCCTAAAATACTACCTCATGAATGAGCTGACCTGGACCACAGTGCTTGAGGGACCACCTTCTCTCTTGGGTACGTCCTTTGAGACCTGCTTCGGAGGCCGGTTCTGGATCCTTGGCCATCTGAGATCAAGCTAGCAGCAATCAGTAAGAGGACTTTCTCAGTGGTAGTGCCCTGTTTATTTTTTTCTTCCTTGAACAGCAGATCCTAAAAGGCAGGGTTTTTTCCTACTGTTTGGTGCAGAATATCTGATTATGGAAGGAGGGGTACCAAAATGGGCCCTTGCCTGGAATGTTCTACACTAGGATCTTAGTAGCTGAGTTCAGCAATTGCTGTTTGGGCCACTTTGTTTGTTATGTTTTTAACATATATTTTTATTGTATGCACAAACAAAATGGTATGTCTACCAGCACGTGTGATACAGGGTATATGCACAGTCGTATATATAGGGCAGATACAGGGTAGTTCTCGAATGGACATAGCTCCTTCTGCCGTGTTTTTGTACCAAACGTTCTATGGATTCTCAGTGAAGTAGCCCTTAGAACTGCTTCACTCCCTTGTCAGTGCAGTTTCTGAACAAATTAGGACTTCTTGTAATTTTGCAGTGAGGAGATTTCTGTGGGGAGTAAGGGAAAACAATTGTTATGACACTTGGAAGCAGATTGCACAGGATGGAGATAAGTTCGCCATTTGTGGGAGAACAAGCTATAGCAACACTTATAGGAAGCATATTTCAATACAATGTGCAGCTCTGCAGGATCGCTGGGGTTGTACCTTTTGTGTTTCATATTGCCCCAAATAGTTTATGGTCACTTCAGCTTTTTTTAAAAAAAAATCTTCTGTTTTCTGTTTTCTTTGTGGGGCAGTGAAAAGCTGTTCGTGGAAATGGCAAACTGCCTGGTGACCGATGGCTGGAAGGATTTGGGCTATGAGTATGTGAACATAGATGACTGCTGGATGGCAAAGGAGCGGGATGCCAAAGGACGACTGGTTCCAGATCCTGAGAGATTTCCTAGTGGGATCAAAGCCTTAGCAGATTATGTGAGTGGACTCTTCTAGTGTAGAAGCAAGATCTAGGTGGTCTCATCTCATCTGTGATTTTTTTAAAGCCTCTGTTGAGGCATGAGCTGTGAGGATTAAGCAGTGCGCTGGGCTCCTAACGTATGACTCCTTAAAGGATTAAGGGCTGTAATGTACTTAATTGAGAGTCTGAGCCAGTGGGTTGCTTGTGGAAAATTTCTTCAGATCACAACGTGCTTTTACTTGCTTTGCCTCTGTGTCCTCTACTGCTGTTCCAGGTGTGCTGGAATTGGAGGCAACAATAGCACAGGAACAAAAGGTAGACATTGCAGGAGAGACTGGGGGGATGATTGGAGCTAGGGTGGAGTTTTGGGGAATGGGGAAACATCCTCCACAGAGCAGGCCAGGATTATAGAAGGAAAGAAAACCCCTCATATCCATGTGCTGTCCTTCTAGAAATCAAGGCAAGGGTGTTGGGAGAAAGAGTAAATCAAACTTCAGTTCTGTGTTCTACAGTAGCCATATAGTAGAAATATGGTTTGTATGAGAAAGAGTATGCTTCTGATGGCAGATGAATGAATTTTCTAAGATGGGGCAGTTTGAGGTGCTTGACCTGGGTTAGACTGTATTTTGGGGTTAGTGATTGTGACAAACAGCATGACTTTTGTGTTTGTCCCACACAACTAACCCTCAGAAGTCATTGTTGATATAGTGTTGAAAAGTTTGTACTATCCTGAATTTAACTCCAACAAGATCTTTATGGTCTGGCTACTAGAAAGGAGACAAAGCCCCACTGAGACCAGGTTCATACACAGCTTTTATCCTTACACATGAGCACATGTCTGTGGATGCACATTCACAAGAAAAGCATAATGCGACAATGGCAGTAAACCAGTCCATTCAACAGAAATGCCAGTGACAAAAAAATCAACAGAAATGCCAGTGACTGAAAAGTACTGCCACAGTCACAGAAATTGCTGCCAATTGTATCTGTGTGCCCCTGGTTCTTAATTGTTTTTCCCCATATAATTCTGGCAGCACACACCTTGGCTGCTTGTGTGTAAGAGAAAGTCATGTGTGAACTTGCTCTTAGAGAACATTAGTTGTGTGTCTCATGAAGTATTAAGCTGTGACGTGAACAAAGACGCTTTCCCTTCCAGAAACAGACAAAGGTGCTCGGTACATAATCTCAAGGGTGGCGCAGGTGGTTAAACCGCCTGCTGGTAACATCTGCGAACAGCTGCTACAGCTGTTCAAATCCACTGCGGCCAGAGCTCCCGCCCACCCAGCGGTTCGAAAGCAATAATATCAAGACGCAAGTAGATAAATTGGGTACCTGCCTTAGATGGCAGGGAGCACCCTTCCCCGTCAGGGGGGCTGGTGAAGCATTGGCGGCGAGGCGAAGAACAATGACGGCATCGGCGGCAGGCGGCAAAAATGACAACCGGGCGCAACATCGGCAGCGATCCAGACGTCGGCGGAGGGTGGAGCCAGGAGACGCAGGGAGAGCGTGAGGCGCAGGCGTGGGCGGAGCCATGACAGACAGAGCCGAAGCCGCGCCAATGTGAACCAAGCACCGAATGGATATACCAACCACAGCCGACACCGAGGGTCGCAGGAGGAGAAGGAGGAAGAGCCGGAGAGAGCTGTGTCAGCAACGGGCCGAGGGGCCGAATCATGAGTAAGAAGAACAATAACTCCATCTACAGGGTGCCGGTAGGGCAGTCCCCACCCCGATTAAGTTGTGGCCATAGTTAGGGATAATAGAGTAACTGTAAGCCGCTCAGAGACCCCTTGGGGGGTTCGAGCGGGATAGAAGCCGAAATAAATAAATAAAAAGCATTGCCAAGTGTGGCTTAGTTATTCTACTTGCCTTTGCAAATTCCTCTGTATCTCAGACGTCACAATTTATTTTGGCAGGTACACTCACTGGGGCTGAAGCTTGGCATTTATGGAGACCTCGGTACCCACACTTGTGGCGGGTACCCTGGCACTACATTGGATCAGATCGAACAGGATGCTTTAACATTTGCAGAATGGGGGGTCGACATGCTGAAGCTAGATGGCTGCTATTCATCAGCAGAATACCAGGCCAAGGGTAAGAGCCAAGGCTTCCTGCTTGCCCCTGTGTCTCTCCATCTCTCACACTCTTCCAATCCTGTGCTGCTCCCTCGCTTGACAATGATCAGGTTAAATTAAAATCTAAACCATATAAGCAAAAATAAAAGTGTTTTTAAAGATCGGATTTTTTGTTATTTAAATGATCATAATAACAATCTGTTTAACAATGAACTAGTTTAAAATGAAATCTGAATTCCATCATGCATACAAACAAGCTCGTCAACCTCTGTATGTAAAACTGAATCATGAGTATCTATCAAACACATTAAAATCTGTTTTTCTGCGTAGAAAAGGGCCGGGGAGGATTATGGCTTCTGATGTTAAGCATTATAAATGGTACAATAAGCCATGCATAGTGTTGGGCTTGGGAGTGAACCTGGGGGAAAGTGCATCATCATAAACACAAGGAGCTAGAATATACCATCTGGGCATCCATGGAACCCTATTTTGTGTTTTTCCATTTACTATGGCCTTGAAAATGAATGTGAACATTTGTGACTCTTCCAGATAAACAATGTAATGCTTGCAAAGCATCTCTTTAAAAAATGTTTGTCTAGTAACTCCCAGCCATTGCTTTGAGAGCCTTAAAGCCCTATAAAGCACATGTGTATTTGATAGTAATCCCCACTCTGCTTACAGCTTTAGCCTTCAATTAAGTGATCTTGTTTAATATCATTCCATATGTACAGAGAGCCAAACAGAAATCTCTCTGAGCTGGTATAATTCCATAGTGTGAGTGGGCTACCTGTTCAAAGTGACTGGTATACTCTGAAATGGCATAATGGTCAGTTTAGTAGCTAACCAGTGAGGATTAATTAGTGCTATAAGCATTAAGTATGCATGTATGTTCAGGAAGATACAGATTTCAGAACTGTAAATTGGATTGAAATCATGATTTAAATCACGTTGACTTTATCAGTCTTTGTTATTGGACTTGGAGATGCTCTATGAGCATATTTCTTTTATGCTGAGACAGATACACACTCTATAGGATTGTTACTCTTGAAGTTGCATAAGGTCACCTACTTCTGTTCCCGGTATTCATTCATAATATTCAAAACCTTTTGAAGACCCCTTTTATTACCTCACCATTTTAAACTGTCCTAAAAAGCAAAAGGTTCTTTTTGTTACTTTATTATTATATTCATTTTGTCACAAAATTCTAGAAGTGCATCCAAAGTGGCTGCAGATACAGTCATATTAGGACTTTGCCATATGCTTACACAGATGATTGCTCTGTTAAGGGACCAGCCCACCCCAAGAAAGTCAGCCACTGGACAGATTGTTGTAGGTTAGTTATTGTATGCCTGCTTGCATACAAGACATCCCCCTTTACAAGTGTGTAGCAAGCTACCCATGCCCCATGGAGACAATATACTGAGCTAGATTTTAAAAGAAGCTTAAGTAAAATCGCTGTGTTTAATGTATATTGCCTACAATATCAGGTCTCAAAAGGTAGCTGATTCTAATAGGGCCACAACACAAAAGTCTCTGACCCAAGTTCTAATCAGTCTCATCCCTTGATAGGAGGAGAGCTTGTGCCAGAGACAACAATAAAGCTCTTTATGGGTTAATAATGTCTACATAGAGGCAAGATGAACATGAGTGGAAAGGGATCTGTAAGAACTTTCAGAGTGGCTCATAGGAATATAAAGTTTGAGTCCAGTGGCACCTTTAAGGCCAACAGAGTTTTATTCAAAGTATAAGCTTTTGTGTGCACACATACTTCTTCAGATACATTGAAATGGAAGTTTCCAGTCATTCATATAGGTAGAGGGTGAGCAGCAAATTAGCATGTAACATAATGAAGATATTTAATAAATTCAAGGACCAAACAGGAATAACAAGCTTAGTTTATATGGTTACCATTTGTTTGTGTTTAATTGGGGGGGGAGGGCATAGTGAAGGAAATAAAATATATAAAAATGGGCATTTGGGGACAGCCAATTCCTCCTCAAAGAAGAGGATGCTGTAAGTTCACCTCCATGCTTGAGAGGAGACAGATGGAGCATAATAGCAGGGTCTCAGTTAATTATCCTCAGCATTCCACAATTAAGAAGTGTACATCTGCACAACAATTTCTGATTTTGATATATTTATTTCCTTCATTAAGTTTTCCCCTGGAATTAAACTCAAACAAATAGTAACCATATAAACTAAGTTGGTTATTTTCATTATGCTCTATGCTAACTTGCTGCTCAGCCTCTACCTATATGTATGGACTGGTAACTTCCATTTCAGTATATCTGAAGAAGTGTGCATGCACATGAAAGCTTATACCTTGAATAAAACTTTGTTGGTCTTAAAGGTGCCACTGGACTCAAACCTTGTTCTGCTGCTTCAGATCAACACAGCTACCCACCTGAATCTATCTTCATAGTAATATAAAATGTCATAAAATCTGAACGTCCAGTATTCAATTAAAAGTCACCATTGGCTATTTTTTTCTACTGATGCAGAGTGCTTTCACTATGCTGAAATCCTTTTGCATTGGAAAATAGAGTGGAAACTGGTTTGGTTTGTATCTGAACTAACTGGTGATTGTGTCTCTCCTTGGTGCCACAAAACCAGAGTATTTAGAATTGAGCTATTGGTTTCCAGCATTTTCTGTCTAGTGATCTGAGGTCAGATATAAGCTACATGAATATGGATGGCGGCAGCTCTGCTACCTCCTAACTTTCGAAAGATAGGAAAGTCTCTTCTCTCTCCTTCCTCTGAGAGTCCCTGCCCCCTTTCCTAGAAAACTGAGAAGGTTTCATTTTCAAGTTAACCAGATGGTATGAGAATGGGACTATTTCTGTCCTTAGAGAGGGCTTGCAGGCTCCAGCAGTCACTTGGACCCCAATTTGAGAAACATTGTAAGTCCTCATGACTGAGGTAGATTCTGACCTTGAGTTGGAGAAGTGCTCATGGGGTGAACAATGCCTTTCTTCTTCTCACCATGCGCCTATCCTCCAAATGTCTATAAAGACCCCACAGCAATTTACTTTGACCGTTCTTTTGATATTTTATCACTCTTTGTCTGTAAAAGGTTATCCTCGAATGACCAGGGCTCTGAATGCAACAGGTCGCCTTATTGCCTATTCCTGTAGTTGGCCAGCATATCAAGGGGGGCTTCCACCTCAGGTGAGGCATCATTGAGAAGGCATTGGGGTTGTATTTTCTTTCTCTTGGTTTAAACTATGCTGCACAGCTGCCCCTTGAACCATGTTCAGAATTCTGAGCTGAAGCTTCTCACCCTCCATTTTGATGATTGGGGCAGGGGGTGAGTAGAAATATGGCAAGCATTTCCTTTTATATGGCAAGCAGCAAGTGTTCCTCTCTGATCTTGTACTGGCCTTTGGAAACCCTCAGGAGCCAGTGAGAAGTCTCGTTGCTTCTGAATGTCTCTCAGGCTTGGTGTTATGTCAGGGACAAGGCCTCACCTTTCCTGTCAAGGGAAGGCCTGAGTCATTGATGGCAGACTTCTCGGCGTGACTCTTCAGAAGGGAACACAAAAAACAGAGAAGGGAGGCAAATTATGGTACTGCTCTTTCTCCAGCATTACTGTAGAAAAACACAGCCAATCAATCACATTTGTCCTCTTCCATTGTACCACATGGGGTTAGTCCTTACAGCTTCCCTTCCGGTATGTTTTTTTCTGAGGCTATCGTACTTTACTTTGGTCATGTTATTAGAAGATGAGACTCACTGGAAAAGACAATAATGCTAGAAAATGTTAAAGGAAGCAGGAAAAGAGGAAGACCCAACATGAAATGGATTGACACAATAATGAAATCCACAGCCTTCAGTTTGCATGACCCGAGCAAGACTGTTAATGATAGGATGTTCTGGAGGCCATTAATTCATAGGGTCACCATAAGTCCAAAGTGGCTAGACAGCACTTAACAGACACACATCTTTTTTTCTTATTGATACAGCTTTTTCTTGACGCCTTGGGCACAACACCTTAGTTCTCCCCTACTGAAATGACACCTAAGTATGTGTAGCTACATGAATGCATATTCTTCCCCTATTTCTCCCTGCCTCCACTTCCCTGAGTAATCTTCTTAGTCTTAGAATTTTGGGATGCAAGTTCCCTCAGGGCAGGGGCTGGTCATCTTGTGGTCTACTCTGTACAGTGCCATGCACACTGATAAGCAATAAAATATACTCTAAAAGGGGTCCCTCTCCATCATGTTTCTTTTCGGAGCATCCCAGGGGTGTCTAGTTGAACACAGAGTGCTGAAATCATTAGTCCTCTGGCCTGATGCAGCAGTGCATTTCTTATCCATAGGACAGGAACAGGGTGCCGATCGAGAGTCCTGGCTTGTCCCATAAGCACTTGTTCATAAGTATCAGTTCAGGGTACAGTGTTACCTGATGAAATATGTTTCCCCAAACCTTGTGTAATACTTATACCTTACACAATCCCACAGTTTCTGGTATTTTAGCATAATCTCTAAATTGCTATACTGTCTTGCATTCTTCTCTTTGCCTAGATGACACGCTTTGGTCACCTTTCACGTTGGATGGCCAAACACATTTTAACTAAAAATTCAACCTTTTGGTGGTAGATGCCCTTTCATTGTCATCAGCTAATTCAACCCCTGACAAGCACAGTACTGTGTTTTCTCTCCACCTGCATCTTGTACCACATGATCTTAATAGAGTAAACAGTCCATCTCTGGAACATACTCTCTTGCACACCCTTTCCCAGGTAAACTACACCCTCCTGACCAATGTCTGTAATCTCTGGAGAAACTATGATGACATTCAAGACTCCTGGGACAGCGTCCTCTCCATTGTGGATTGGTTTTCAAAGAATCAGGATGTGCTTCAGCCACAGGCCGGCCCTGGCCACTGGAATGATCCAGACATGGTAATATTGAACCAAGGAATGTTGAAATGAAAACTTGGACTTAACAGGGGAAGTTTCAAAGATAGAAAATGCAATTGCATAGAATTCTTGGCAGGGCTTCTTCCCAGCATTTTACATAACAGGGTGCAAGGCTAAGTGAAATTATCTTCCTGGCCCAGTCCTCATGGGTATAGTTTAAAAATACCCATGCTGCTGTGCCAGCTTTCTGAAACTAAGCAGGTCTGTTTCTTGGATGAGAGACTTCTTGGGAATCCTATGTTGCAGTACCTTGACTCCTGTAATGGGGAGTCCTTGAAAGGCCCATCCTTCTGTATAGCCTGTATTGACCCAATGTGTGCCATCAAAGCACTTCATGAAGAAGAATCTGCTTTCAGTTACCTGTATGCAGATTTGTGTATTGTGCCCAGAGCAGGTGTAGGATAGGTGCTAAGAGAACAAGCTGTGATCCAGGAGGTCCTTTGTTCAGATCTTGCCTCTGAGCCAAAGTGGCCTTGGGCAAGCCATTCTCTCTCTCACCCCCACCTTAGCAACTGGAGATAAAAGTGCTGGCCTTAACAGAGTTGTCGTAACGATTACAAGATGTTTGTGAAACACTGTATCAATTCTGAATTGCTATTTAATTCAACTGTTTATATGGAGAGATAAAGAGCTATATAGGACTCAGGCAATGCCTCCCCCACCACTGAAATGCAACTCATTCCCTCAGACATAACCTTTTTAATCTTCTGAGACTTCACCAGGCTTGAAAAATTACAGGCAGAGGATGCCTGTTTTTGGAGAGTTTTAAGGACTAGAAACTTGTGTTTTTAATGAAAAAGAAAAGTTGAGATACTTTGGATGCTGAATTCTGCACCTAATAGCTACTTTCTGTGCTGGCAAGATGTGATCTGGAAATACACCTAACCCTAACAATACCCTCTTAGAACATCTATAGACACATCTTGGTTCTGGATAACCCAGCCCCAGGACAGTAAACTAACTTGTCACGTTCCCATGTGGTGAAGCTAGAGGGGTCTGCAAAGTCAGCCATTTCTGCTGACTTTGTATCATGTTTTTTTGCTTCCTTCCTGTGTCCTGCAGCTAATCATTGGAAACTTTGGTCTCAGTGAGGAACAGTCCCGGTCCCAGATGGCCTTATGGACCATCCTTGCTGCACCTCTTTTCCTATCCACAGACCTCCGCACGATTTCTCAAAGTTCCCAGGAGATTCTGCAGAACAAACTGATGATCAAAATCAACCAAGATCCCCTGGGAATCCAAGGACACAGAATCCTTCAGGTAAGAGAATCAGAGAGGCCTGGAGCCTGTGAGTGGCTGAGCAAGCCATGTGACTCCTTGGAGCCAGAATTTCCTAGAGGATTCAAAGACCTTAGATGGGGGGGCGGGGTTAATACTGGAAGTGTATTACAGCTTTTTTGCTAGTGACACATTGTTTTCCTAGGAGAAATCTCACATAGAAGTGTTCCTGAGGCCACTTTCCAACTCAGCCAGTGCTCTGGTTTTCTTCAGCCGGAGGACAGACATGCCATATCACTACACCACCTCCCTTGCCAAGCTCAATTATACACAAAATGCCATATATGAGGTAAGTAAGGAAAGAACCCTCTGCCTCTCGTAGCAGTTGCCATCCAGCATGCTACCTGTTAGGGCGGACATCCACTGTGGAATGAGGCTTCCAAGACCACATGCTGTGTATACTGGGGATGTAATCTCCAAGGAGCCATCTGTGCATGTAGTACTGCATTCTAAATATTACTCTTGGGGAAATGTCATTCATTGGCTTCCTACATGTCCCACCCACTGATTCTTGGAATTGTGCCTTTTCTACCTACCTTGCCACAGTCTCAGTGGCCACAACTGAGCAACAGTGTGGTAGGTACCTTAAGTGAAGCCATGTTGGGACTCTCTCATAGAGAAAAGCTCCATTATGCACAAACCCTTGGTGGGAGGGAGGTGACAATCACCAGATGCATATAGTACCACTCACTTGTGGTGGACTTATCGTGTGGATCAGCCTCTACATTGTTACATTGAAAACGGCCACCATGCCTCTGCTTGCTTGTGCAAATTAGTTCTTAGTTGCGTTGTGTATTTGCATTAGTATGGGAATATCACATGACAAACATGAGTCTTAACAAAATTGTTTTCTGAAAGGGAGGGGAGTTTGATTGTGTGTAGGGGTGGTGGCCTGCTCACCAAGCCAGAGGCAAAGCCCTGGGCAACAGCAGAGTGTCACAGCAACAGCTTCTGGCAGGCAGGGCTCAGCAACCGGGTCCAAAGGCAACAAAGTTCACAAGACTCACGCAGCTGGTAGGCTCATCTTCAGGGTTTCACACATATTGATCCCACTCTGGCTCCAGCCTCACTGCAGGCTTATATAGAGAGTTTCCCTGCAGGTGATGCTAGATCCAGCATTATCCTCATCTGGCAAGCTGAGTCAGCTTCTCTACTCACAAGAGGCAGCGGGGCCCCAAATCCTTCAGTGGCTTGTTGGCTTCTTCTGGCACTTCCTTGCTCAAGGGGAGGCTTTGGGCTGTCAGGCATGCATGCCTGTGCCCGGTCCAGGCCTCGGCCCTAGCTCTTTGCCTTCTCTGCTCCTGGGGATACTTTGGCCGGTTCATGCTGGGACCTCCTGGCTCAAGGGTTCCGCTGGCTCAGAGGGCATTGGCAGCACTGGTGAAGGTTCCCTTTTGGGGGGGAGATACTGAGCAATCCACCTCACAGGGCTCCAATGAGGACTCATCATCCCACGCTAACCCGGGGTGGTCTATGACGGGTGGTGTGCAAGGAGATGAGGGTGCTACAAGGTCTTCTGGTGCTTTAAAATCCAGCTTGTCAGTACAATTAGGGTTCACTGGCTGAGTAGCATCACTGTGAAACAACTACTGCATTCTGCTCGCAGTCTGTCTCAAATGGGCCTTAGGCTTGATTTTAAACCTGATGGTGGTGAGGACAAAAGAACTCAGCTGTGGGACTTTGCATTCTCACCATGTCCCATTTAAAATGATCTACCTGTATGAATTCCCACAGGCTAGTTATTTCGCCTCAGCCAGTGATAATGTTTAACGTATGCCTCAAAGATTGGTTTCTCTGTGTATTAATTGGGCAGCTTTCTATTGTAATCGTTATGTTACACAGCATGCTACACATATGTGACTGTGTGTCCTTCACACATGTACCTCCTGAGCTGGTTACAGGATCCTAGCTGTATCTATAGGCGCATGCTTGTGATGATGATGGGGGGGAAATATGAGACAGAGAAAGCCTTTAATTAAACTAAATATTTATTAAATACAGGGACAGAAAGAAAGGGGGCAAAACTAGAGAATGCAATAAAATATAACTTGGGCAATGTAATGAAAAAGCAATTGAACACACATTAAGGAATACAACAGAGAGCAATTAAATAATGGCCACACGTAATGTATGGACATGTGGTGTGCCCTAAAGGGAGCAGGGGGGGAAGAAAGGATCGCAGATGATCTGGGAGAGGAAGGGTAGGGCCTGAAGTGGAGAGTGCAATGAGGGGAGGTAGAAAGGCATTGAGGTGGGGGAGGGGAATGCTCGGCCAAGCAAGGCTAAAGAAGAGAGGTAGGGGGAGAGAAGCTGATGGTGATGCCCAGGAGCTGATAGGGAACAGAAGGAAAGGGGAGTGCGGTGATGGGAGAGGAGGAGGGAAGTGGAGCAGGGGACAGAGAGAACAGGAGGCAAGCATACAGTGGGAGTGAGAGCAGCTGGGGGGGCAAGATAGATGGGGGAGATCTGCACATGTTGGTTGATACTGAAGTGTGAGCATACTTCAGTTATAGTGGTGGAAGGATCTGGCTGGGGTGAAAGTGAACTGAACTTTAACAAGTGTCACAGTGGTGAAAGTGTACCTAAAATGCAAGGCTAAACTTGGGTCTATTTATATCCGAATTCATTCCTTTTACTGCCAGTCGTGGGAACAAAGGCAGAAAATGTTATGCTGCTGATTACGGTTCACAGGGAAGGCCTGTGTTATTTGGGATGCTTCTTGAGGGGAAATGAATGTAAGCACTAGTTGTTCATTCTGGCCTGGGCAAGGAGTAGCCCTTGGCACTGCACAAGCCTTTTGATACGTGGCATGACAGTTTCCCCGGGAAACCTGGTTGTCTCATCATAAGATGGCATCTGATTAAAGTCAGTTCCTATCATGATCCTCTGATTTGAGTGCAGTTGGGAGTCCACTGGAACCGAAGTCCTCAAGAGTGCAGGGCACACTGGGGCTGATGCTGCTTCTTTGTTTTTGGCAGGTGCAAGATGTCTACACTGGTGAAATAATCAGTGGGTTGAAGATTGAGGACAACTTCAAGGTGGTCATTAATCCCTCTGGGGTAGTAATGTGGTACGTCTACCCAATAAGGAACCTAGACCAGCCTTTCAGCTTCCTAAACCAGCTTTATAAACGTGACACCAAGAAGTTCCACCCTTTTCCACTGTGACATCAAAAGGCCAAATGAATCCTGGGTTGGTACAGCATCTTAGGAAACCTGGTGTGGCTGATAGTACCCCACACTGAAAAGAATCAAATTGTACACGTTGGTAATTTACGCATGGCTTCTGGGTACTAATGGAGACAATGTATATCTACCTCAACAGGCTAAGGGAAAGTAAGGTACTTGGAGAATTGCAGCCTTAATGATTGCCTAACCATGTATATATTAAAATACTCATAGTGTTATCTAGATAGCCTTAAACAGTAGAAGGGAATTTTGAACTATTCTTATGATTCTGAATCAGCTGCCACAGTAGATATTTAATACCCAGTGGAGAATGATCTTCTGAGAGCTGCGATCTGCTATTCTGCCTACATACTAGGGCTATATGCAAATCTTTTTCAAATGTGCAGTAGTAGTTGGGGAAGTTCTACTTGTGACAGGCAGGTGTTCTACGCCTGTGTTCTACGATACTGCTTGGGAGAGACTGAATCACATTTTCAAATGCAGTGTTGTATCAGACCAGAGGTCCTTCGGGTCCAGTAGTGGCCTATCGTTTGTCTCTGTCATATTCCACTTGTAAGGTTCCCTGTTTGTCCCCAAGATCAGGTATTTAGGGCGATGGAAACACTTGTCTATTGCCATAACCGTGACTTGTACTACTCATGAGTACTGAGCACAAACGTACATGTACTAGACTAGCCTATGGTAATCTCGATAAGGGGTTAGATCTTAACAGAGGATCTTTCCTCCAGTGCGAGATGTTTTCCTAAGACCCAAAAGAGTCTATTTGTCACAGAAAGCACTTCTCCCTCTTGCATCAGAGGATGGCTGTTTTGTACCAGAGAAGTCACCACTTCCAGTGGAGCAGATTGGCAGGAGCCAAGCTGTGGCTTTCCATGAGCAGGCCAGTATGGAAGCAATTTCCACACCTCAGGGAATGTCTCACATTTTGTCCTGTAACTTAGTTCACTTGTCAGTTATTGAATCAGATTTGGAATAAAAGGATAGTCATAGAAACCATGACAGTCCAAATAATTCAGAATTGAAACCTGAAAATTCAGCACTTTAGGCTGAAGGACGTATTTCAGGATGCTGCTCTACCAGAGAAGGCATGTCAACATCATGACTGCCAAAACTTCTGTTCTTTGAACAGCAAATAGGAGAATGAATGACTAATATACTGGAACTTTTTTGGAGGGGGGGACACAAGTTCTACCTGTTAACAGGGGGGGAAACTCATTTTTACATGCTAGCTTTATATCTTTGAAGTAGTAACTTAGAGAGAATATACATACAGCTTGTTGCTATGAGGGGACATAGCAACTCGTTAACTGTTAGGAAGCACTTCTGTATAACAGGAAAACAAAATGGCTATAAATGTCTCTGGGGAGTGGGAAAAAATTCAGCAGTGAAAAAACAGGGCAGAACTTAAGCTTAGAGACAGTACACAGTTTTGAGAAATGTACATACAGCCTAGAAACTTAATTACCTTAATTACCAAAAGAAGGGAGTCAGTTTGGGTAGCAGATTGTACAGTGAGCAATGTCCTCTCCCATAATCTCTTTTAGGGGACTTCATGTTAAACAAAAGTAATACTGGCCCCGGTCACATGGGCCGCATATTGCGGGAGGGAGGTGTGGCTAATTGCCCCGGAGGGTAATGCTGTGCTCCGGTGTGATCACACCACGGGCGTCTGGAGGCAGCCCGTGGCAAACGTTTACTAGTACCTTGGAGGTACTAGTTTTTTAACTTGCATTGTTGGCGGTAAGCCACGGGTGCGCTCCACTTCCCAGATGTTGGGGTGTGATCGTGCCCAGATAATCCACCCACCATCCGTGCCTCTCCCGTGGCAACTTTGCCGTGTGACCGGGGCCACTGTATATCAAATGATACAGATGCAAACAGTTATCAAAACTGGTACAAACTGAACTTGTGCAGGCCAAAATCAAGTTTATCACTGGAAAATTCTGGTACTTGTCAGCCATTTGGTGCTACTTTCAATTTGTTTGTAACTTTTATGCATTTGTCTATGGAATAAAGATAATTTGAGACATTGCTCTGCTTGCATTAATGAATATTGAGTTAGTTATCTTCCAGTCCTTATTAAAGACTCATAGAAGCAAAGAGTTAAGATTGGTAGTACTCAGGAACCTTGTTGATGTTGAAGTAGGGCAGCATTGTTCCCACCAGTGTTCCCTCTAAGCTGAGTTAGTGTGAGCTAGCTCACAGTTTTTTAGCCTCCAGCTCACACATTTTTGTCTTAGCCCAGGAAAGATGGCTCTAGAGCAAACTAATTTTATGCAGCAGCCAAACTACCTGCTCACAACTTTAATGCCAGTAGCTCACAAAGTAGAATTTCTGCTCACAGGACTCCACAGCTTAGAGGGAACATTGGTTCCCACTACCAAGAAATTGTTCCAGGCTAATTATCCGCCCACCAATCTCTGCACAAAGCACAGTTCATTGAGCAGTCAACATACCAAAACAGACAAAGATTTCAATACTTCTGTATTAAAGTGCAATCCAAAAATATTACAAACGGAGCTAGATATATTGTAGAAAGCTGTAAGCATCTTGGATTCCAGTTAAAAGATTTTATTAGAAAAAAGAACCTCCCACGTCTGTAATACTGAGTAATGCCCGCTCAGCTACTAGAGGGGGAAACTGATACCACAGTGTGTCTTGAGCTCTTGTGGGGGAAAAAGTCCTAGTCTGTTCAAGGAAAAATTCCCCAATATCCCCTCCATCCATCAAAAGGAACATGCGTTCTCTTTAGAACTAAATAAGTCAAGTTGCAGCTAAACCAGACTCCTCTTAGCAACAGCTTTGTTAAGAAAGGCATTCTAACAAAAGTTTCCAGAAAGCAGCACAAGGCTAAAAAAAGTCACAGTTCTTGCCTTCCTCACTCAAAGTTAAGCTAGTTTTTCCAATAGTGTCCCTTGCTCACATAGTTTTGTTGCATTGTGCAATGCTTCTAGTTACATTCATGCCTAGCTCAACCTGCACAAAGGCCAAGCTGGAGAAATGGCTTCAGTGTTCATCTCTGACAAGACACCTTCCTGCTAAATACACTTATCTCTGTTACTGTGGACAAAGGAATGCTGAGCAAGGATGGGACTGGTTTCCAGAAGATTCTCCGCACAGGTCCCAACTGCAGGATGCAGGAACTACACCCTTTGTTCTGTTCACCAGGTCCCTAGTTTCACAATGCTTCCAGTTCATATAAACAGATCTTCCATCTGCCAGAACCTGGCCTCATTTAGATTTGAGACCTGTTACTGTGTCCCACCCACTGCAAAAGATCAGATACACTTGAGATCCACAGTCATAAGGAAAGCAACTGAGAATTCTAGTGTATGAAATCTGTAACACCTCAGTACTTCTCTTTCATGATGAGTGATCAGAATCCAAAGAGCAAACAAAATCTTTGCTGTGTGATTTCCCCCATGTAATGGAAGATACAGTAACAGCTACTGGTTAGTCTTCTGGCCTTTCCCCATCCAACCAACTGGACTTTTTAAAAAGATGCTGGCAGACTTTCCCCCGAAGTCTGCCATGCCACTTACCCAGTAAGGAGACAGAAGTCTCCAACATATTTACAGGATTCCCTCTTATGCATTAAACTGCACAGTTAAAACTTTAACACTGCACTGATGCCAATGGGCATAAGACTTCTTTTATATTCATATTTGTGAATTTTAAAAGAGTTCTGCTTCATGCAAAGAGGTCCAATATTTCATTTCTATGCATGGGACTTGTCTTCCTTTGCAGTGCGGGTAATTCACCTCTCCTTCAAACTAAAAGGCTGAAACAGTCACAGCATTTCCGTCCTGGCCCCAGGAGAAAATCCAAACAGTCAGGAAAGTGTTACTATCACTGTCATTTTGTATTGCCCTGACAAGAGTTTTAAGAGCTGTTGATGTTAAATCACCCAACATGATATATGTTATTGACACTGAATGATCTAGTAACAGAGAGCCAGAGGTGGTGGCAACGAGGTCTTCAAGGGCAAAAACACACAAGGGAGGTTGGCTGCTGGGCTCCTGCTAGTTGTTTTTTTTCTCCTCGGGTGGTGAATAAGGAGGCGGCTGACCCTAAAAAGAAAACAAAACTGCATCATTCAGGCTAGAATACTTAAGGCTAGGCTGTTTTTATTCCTTCTGGCTGCTATTTATTAGTTATTTCCATGCAACGTCCTTTGTGATAGCTCCTTATTGTGCTCCAAGATGGACAAAACACATCAAGGTGAGAGTAGTGGAACCATAAAGTATCTTGTTATTTTCCACATTATGCAAAAGAAGTTTGGTATTGCCCAGAAAAATGCTGCAAGCCACACTACACGATTTTATGTGTATGCTTGTTTTGAAGAGTTACAGTGCTATGTCTCACCATTATCCCCTTCCTTTAATTGGCGGGGGGAGAGAGAGAGAGATACTGGATATCCCAGCATCAGCATTACTCAACTGACAAGGTGCTGTTTTTTAAACACACACTGTGTCCTTGAGTTCTCTCACTCTTTGCACTAAGCTCCAATACCAGGTTTGCTTACAGCACTATAAAAAGTTGGCTTGTCTAATCTAACCATTTGCAAGTTAGGCTCATCTCAGAAATATAAAAGCCTGGGAAATGAAAGGTTTCTGGAGCCTTTTTCTCTCTCCAATGTTTTCCAATGGAAAAACTGGAACATTTCAGGGCACACTGGGGGAAAAAATTCCTATGAAATATTTTCTCTTACAATGAGTAAATTGTATGGCATGAAAAAGTCTGAGGACTTTTCCCAATGGACAACCCTCTTATACCATAGACATATACAGTATTTCCAAGATAATTTACATTTGAATAAAACTATTTGGCAATAAATATGCTAAAATGTATTCACTAAGACATTATTAAAAGGTATCCAACATGCAGTTTCTGTCCAAATAGCAAACTTTTTTTTTTACTACAGAGTTTGTTTTCTACCGTCAACCTTTTCCCCTTCCTCTCAGATGGCAGTAACGTTTCCCCCCCCCATGGGGGAGGGGAACAGAAAGTGTGTTTTTTCCTGGGGCTTCAAAATGTCCAGATATCTTACATGTCTAGTTCAGCTGCTTGTGAGAGCATCAAAAACCTAGCTCTTCCTACACCACTGTTTCCCACTCCTGCTCCACCCCAAAGATCTCCTCCCGAGATTCCTTACCATAGGCATGTAGACATTATGGGGATCGGCAGGGTTATAATATGCACTAGAAGTTGCAGGTGTTGCTTTGTTGCCACCTACAAAGTAAGGGAAGAACCAGGCAGAACTTGTTCACAGATACAAAAACAATAGAGATGATTTGTAGAGCATCTTTTTCTGGATAAGACAAGAGAGGGCAGATTCCTCCATTCCCTGCAGGAAGGGAACGCAGCATGACTACGTACCCAGCACCATCAGCTGTTTGATTTTTAACTGCAGTGGTTTTGAGGGGCCAAGGATGGGGGACCGGACAATGATCACAAGGACAAAATGACATCAAGAAGCAGGCCAACAAAGATGGAGGAATCCACACACAAGCACACACAGTTCCAATGCAACCCTTCTCCAAGGTTAGGTAGCTACAAGGACTTCAGCCAAAGTGTGCATTCTTGTTGGAAAATATTATGATTTTTGATATGCTTTTGAGACTATGACCAGTCTTTCACCAGGTTTCCCTCCACAATCCCTCAGAATTAGTTACACTTTTACATATGAAGCTGACTTATATCAAGTCAGACCACTGGTCCATTTAGCTTTGTACTGTCTATTCAGACCACCAGTGGCTCTTAAGGGTCTCAGGTAGAGTTATTCTCAACACCTGATACTTTGAAATATTTTAAACTGAAGATGCCAAGGGCCTTCCGCATGGGAAGTATCTGCTCCAGTACTCAACTACAGCCCCTGTCCTTATTGCTAAGATAACTGGCTGAAAACATTACTGAGGAAATCAGATGACTATATGTGGACAGCCCTCAGGTTCCATATACATGGAATAAATATCCCCCTCCCCTTTCCAGTCATATTCCATCTCTTATTGAAACAGTTAGCAGAAAAAAGCACAAGAATTCATTTTAAATATAGATATCCTCCAAATAGTAGAAAATATGATAGAACAGAAGTGAATTACTTATTAACATGTTTACTATTTATGCCTCTTCAACTGAGAACTTCTTATTCAAAACCTAGGAAATGCCATCTAGGCAAAATCTGACATTAATTTTAAACAAAGAAGCCCTCAAGAGATGAAGAAGAGATTGGATTTATACCCCACCCCTCACCACCCGAAAGCGTCTCAGAACGGTTTACAATCTCCTTTCCCTTCCCTTACCCACAACAGACAGAGGGGGCTGAGAGAGCTCTTTTGAAAACTGCTTGTGAGAGAACAGCTCTGAAAGAATTTGTAACTGACCCAAGGTCACACCAGCAGCTGCACGTGGAGGAGTGGGGAAATCAAACCCAGTTCTCCCAGATTAGAGTCCACACTCCTAACCACTACACCAAATTGGACAAGCCTTTGTCACTGCCACTGGAACCCTTTTTACTCGTCTTACCTGGCATTCCAGGCTCCGCCCAGGCTGTAGGGGCTGAAGGGCCTGCAGCAGAAGGGCCAGGATATGGAGGAGGAGGTGCCATATACATCCCACCTGGTGGTGGATACATGCCTGAAGGAAGGAGATATTGCGTGCCACATCACTCTACATACGTATCACAGCAGTATGCAGCTGATAGCAGTTCTGCATTAAATGTCATCCCCTACTGTCCCAGAAATAAGGCCCCTGTTTCTTGAGTGACTCATGTATTTAGAGCTGGAAGACCATCATGCAAGATGTCTACCCCAGTTCTGTCATTGTTCCCACTAGCTGTACAGCATGCGCAGAGTGAAGCATCCTGCACTGGTATACTGTGGGGAATGATGCAGTGAACCAATGCATTCTATACAATAAGTTAAGGGTTATGTGGACAACCTTTTGTAACTGCCACTGGAACCCTTTTTACTGTTCTTAGGATTAAGGATGTAGTGTGGGGGGTTTTGGGGGGGGTTAACGAATAGCAAATAGTAATTTGCTATTTGCTGAACTGCTACTAGTGGCAAAACACTGTAAACAAACTTATAATAAAAGAATATCAAAGAAAGATTTTGACACAGCATTAATACAATTATTATTTGCAAAATACTTCAGGAAGTAATGAAATCAGAAGTTATCACTACAGTATTAGGACTTGTACTTGAACAAATAAGTCCACTGTATATATTATACTGTTGTTATTGCAGTGTTCTTCAATCTTGTAATCTAGCTTTATTGCACTGTGTTACTATAATGTTGTATGCATTATACTGTTTTACTACATTATTTTCCAGTCTTGCACCTCTGTTTTAATGTGTTCCTACTGCATTGTTTTTAATTATGTAATCAACCTCTTTAAGTAATCCACTATCTCAGCAAGAAAGGTGGACTATAAAAAATAAATGTTACTTGCCCAAATGAGAATAAACCATGTGACAATGTCAAGCAAAGAAGTGTTTTTTACTGCTTGCAATAGGATATTGGAGGATTAAGACTGTTCCTTTTCTAACAATTAGTCAGCCTTCTTTTCATGATTTATTTTTATGAGATTTATAATACATTTTTAAAAGATATTTCTTATTCATTTAGAGAAGTCGTCCTCTATTAGTATTATTATTATTAATAATAATACTAATAATACTAATAATAATAATATTTATATCCCGCCCTCCCCGCGGATGGGCTCAGGGCAGCTCACAATTAACGGGTATGTATAATGACTACTCTTGTTACTAACTATGATCCTCTCCACAGAAGCAAAGTCTGTTCACATATTATCATTTATTAGATTTCTGAATAGCCCCATCCCTGAGTACACAGAGCTCTGGGCAACTTACAACAGGTTAAAACGTATAAAAATACAAATGAAAATCAACAATCAGTTAATCTTAATTAATCTTAATCTTTGATTTGGGTCAGCTGCTTCAGTCATTTCCACTACCTGGAATTTATTTTTCTGTTTCCTCTCACTGTGTGGGGGAAGGGGAGGATCATCCAATTACACTGATCCAGGGCAGGCAAGGAAGTACCCTCTTCACACATCACAAAACTGGTTTATGGAATTTACTGCAACTGGCTTTGAGAGCTTAAAAGGTGATGAGAAAATGGGACACCCTACTTGAGGGTTTCCCAGAAGCATATGACTGGCCAATGTAGGATGCTAGACTAGATGCTAGTACAGAGGCATTTTTAGCTTAACCCAGCTCTTACGTTTTAACATATTTTTGTCCACTTCTATAGTAAATACTATAGGGGAGTATAATACTGCCCGTATCTGAGCAACACAATCTTATGAAGACAGCTAGAACCACTCACCTGGAGGAGGCGCATACGGATATCCCATAGGTTGTGCAGGTCCGTATCCATTCATGTAAGGGTACGGTCCAGCAGCAGGCGGTGAAGTAACATAAGCCCCTGGTGCTGATAAGTAACTTCCTGGAACAGGTGGATGAGGGGCATAGCCCCCAGCAATATATGCAAACCCATAGCCAAAGCTCTGAACAGGTACTCCCCTGGAAGCTAAACAGAATATATTTAGTAAGCAAGATTTAGAGGAGAAAATGTTTTCACTGCATTTTGGTGAGCAATATGACTGTATTCATCATATTTGTCAGCTCAAATCCTGAAATGGATGCACAAGCATATAACTAATGTATCAATAAATGTTGGTTTTAAGCAACTCTTTCAAAAAAACCCACTATGTTGACAGATGTTTGTTATCAGTACTGTTTGTTATCAGCAAGAATGGAACTTGAGGGTGAGAAGAAATAGGTCAAGGAGTGCAAAAATCATAAGCATGAAGTAGTGGAGAGTGTGTTTCTATTGCAGGACTATTTAGCGCACAGCTGTCAATATCTGCTACTTAAACCAGGCAGCAGGTACTAAACAATTAGGACTAGAGGGCAAGAGTCTTACCATCTCTGGCCTGTCTGAACATCAATTCCCCAAATTCAATGGCACCTCCACTGCAGAAGATCATCTTAAATGAAGCCTGACCTTCCCAGCCACCTATGGGAAATAATCATAGACATTTTAATCATGAAAGGTTCTCAAGATAAAAACTAGGATTGAATCTTGTCTGTTTCTTGGCAGTGAAGGCAAAACAAACATTGTTTAACTTTAAAAAGTGAGATAATTGTGAGATTCAACTGTATTTTACAACTGGCAACACACTACAATGAAAGCTCCAATGCACCCCAATATTAAGTATAGTACCCACAAAACTAAGTTACAATGAGATTTGTGCAAGGGCAGCACTTGGTCAATTGCTCTCTTCTTCTCCCAGCATCCAAAAAGGGCTCACGGAGATGCTTCTTCTTTGAAGTAGAAACTCAAAATGCTGAGGGAGTGAAAATCTGCACTTCACCTTGAAAGACCTAGGTGGGTAGTGGGTAGCTTAAGCCAAAGCCAAGTGTTTCCCACTTAAAAAAAAAAAATTAATCAGAGTCTGAAACGAACCATAGTGTGAGCAAAATCTTTAACTTATTTCAGCATGAAGCCTCTGTGACTTGGTTGTCAAATTCTTAGCTGAAATGCAAGTTTAAAAAAAGAAAGAAAGAAAGCTTCTCCTACTTTCAAATCCAAACTGTCAGAAGAGCAGAAAGAAAATTAATGTGGACAATCCTCACAATGCTTATTTTATACCGGTGCCACTAGAGGAAAGCATTTGCAAGCCAAGATGGTTATTTCCACAAGTCGAAGACTGACAGAGAATCAGGTCAACATGGAGGGGGGGGGGGTTGTTTTGTTTAGCTGCAGGTATTTACTAAACAGTACAAGGGAATTCTCTCTCAGATCCAAAGGGATTCTATATATTCTCTGTGGAATCCGTTGCCCAAAAGCAATGGGAATGAAAAACTAAATCCTCCAATGGAATATATACATGCCTACTACAAACTCAACAAATGCATTTCTCTGCATGACTGGTGGTAACATACCTCCCGGTTCTGCTTGAATCACTCCTTTGATATAATTAGCAGAAAATACTGGCTGTTCAATAGAGCATCCTTTCATCAAGGTGAATGGCATCTGGAAGGACATCATTGGGTCTTTGCCCTTGGACAAAAAGATAACCTGCAAGAAAATACAAAGCAGCACCCCAGTCAAAGATCTCATTGTGGAGAGGGACATCAATAAGGGAAAGATGTTCCTATCCAAGGTATTCAAGGCCCAACCTGTAGAAGATTTACAGGCAGTCATTTAGGAAATTTCTGCAGGTGCACACTGAGAAAAACCGCTAAAATGTTCCATACAACAATTCAGGAGCATTATCCTCCATTGCATGTGGAAGAAAAGTCTCAGGTTGCAGGTTAAAGGTGGGTATACAGCCTAAAATTTTTGAAGACTATTCAGAAGAAAGACCCAAAGTTAAAGGGGCACAGTTTACTAGCATCAAGCCCTTCATTCCCAAAAAAAGGAGTACAGCCTAAATATCAACCTAGCAAAAGCCCCCTTGGCTACCTGCACAAATCAAACCAAACCTGGATCCAGGAGTGCTCATTTCCTCTTTTAAAGAACGATCACTTAACAGTGTCTGGACAAAAGTAATGGACTGTATGCAACTGGCCCAAAACTTACTCTGTAAGGGGTAAGTAACACCATCCCTTTCTTGGTGCCTTTGAAGATATCAGATTTGCCGGTCACATCAGAGAAGGTCAATTCCACATCTTTACACTGCTTGATGATGCTTTAAGAGAAGATAACAAAACACAGATTACAATTAGCATATTTCAGAGCAGACGGTATCAGCACAGATGGGTGAAGAGTCATCTTTACAAGAAATGCCAAAAGAAGATAATGCATTCCAATAAATGTATTAGCCTTCAGGCACGAAGCTGGAAATGCAGTCTCCCTGAGGACTAATCTCTAAAAATAATAAGGGCAGGTTCCAATAGCATTTCTGATCAAATAATGCTAGGATACTGACTGAAATATTATCCAGACCTGTGCCTCTACTGGACACACACTACTGGACATACAAACACTACTGATGCAGTCTTTACTTAAATGAAATCCACCCAAACAACCCACTAACAAGATGACATTTTAGGGTAAGGCAGCTAGGCTAACACTTTCTTTTTGTGATAAATGTAATAACTTATCTTTTTTGTGATACATCATTGTACAAAGATTAAAAATTTTGTGCTGTAATCTTACATACACTTACTTAGGAGTAAGTGTTAAAATCAAAACCTGCTTCTTAATAAACATGCATATGACTGGGCTGTATGGGGTACAGCTATCAAGCCAGCTCAAAACAGAAGAACAAGTGTTGGTTTTAGGAAGGTCTAATGGCGATTCAGGATTGGGGAGTCAACTCCCAGTCCTTGATGGGGTGCCTCTGACACCGGCACCTACTGTCAGGAGCCTGGGGGTGATCTTGGACCCTGCTCTGTCCATGGAGGCCCAGATCACCAACGCTGTACACTAGGCATTCTTCCAACTGCACCAAGGTAGGCAGCCGGCCCCCTACCTGTCTCGCCCCAACCTTGCCACAGTAATCCATGCAATGGTCACCTCCAGGCTGGATTACTGTAACTCGCTTTACGTTGGGCTACCCTTGAGACTGACCCGGAAGCTCCAAATGGTACAAAATGCGGCTGCGTGGGTCCTTACAGGGACCCCACAGAGAGCAAATATCCATCCAGTGCTGCATGAGCTACACTGGTTGCCAGTGGAGCATCGGATCGGATTCAAGGTTTTGGTGCTTACCTTTAAAGCCCTTAACAGTAAGAGACCTACGTATCTTCGGGACCACCTCTCCCAATATGTCCCCTGAAGGGCATTAAGATCAGCAGACAAGAATCTTTTGGTGATTCCCGGCCCCAAAGATATCTGGCTGGCCTCAACCAGCCTTTCTCAGCCTTGGCCCCAGCCTGGTGGAACTCTCTGTCGAATGACATCCGTGCCCTGCCTCATCTATTAGAGTTCCGCAGGGCATGCAAGGCAGAGATGTTCCGCCAGGCCTTCGGTTGAGGCCAGCGATGGTTCCCTTACATCTGCCCGGCACCCTCCCCTCCCCCCTCCCCTCATGAAAATCTGAATGCTAGGTATGCCATCTTGTTTAAAGTGTTGAAATATCCATGTTGAATTTTTTATATTGAATTCTGTAGTTTTAACTGGTTTTAAAATTGTATTGGAATTTATGCTGTTGTATGAGCACTGCAACCCTAGAGTCTGATTCGACTGGCTTTCGAGCAAGGGAAACCTTTACCTTTACCTAAACCACACTGAGCCCCGCAAAAGGGGGAAGGGTGGTTAAGAAATTGAATTAGATCAATCAATCAAATGAAATAAATCTATTTCAGTGGGGCTTACTCCCAAGAAAGCATTCTTAGAAGCATGTCATTAATCTGCTGCCTGACACCTCTTACCCCTTATAACCAGCTTTTACTTTGCATCCCTCCAAATGCTTCAATAAGCCACATGAATCAACTTTGGTGGCAAGGAAACAGTTTCGAGCAAAAAGCCACATGAATCATCTTTGCTTCATATCCACTTCCTACTTTTCAAAAGCATACTAGCGCTCCCTTAACAGCCAAGGGATCTGCTACTCAGCTCATTCTTTCTGCAAAGAGTTCTTTCTGAACATTCTCACCAGAATATTCCTAAATCATTTTTTTTGCTTGAGAAAGTTTTACCAGTGACATACTGTTCAAGAATGTGCTACAAAAGAGGCATAATGCATTCTGGTTCATCTCGCTCACTGACCAAACAGAAATCATGTGACACCAATTTAACTCTTCACATTCCTTCTGGATCCATATCAACAAGGTACTGTTTTCTGGATCAACAGGCTTCCCTACAACAAACTAGGAGGCTAAATCAAATGGAATCAATGATGCAGCATCAGTCAATCAACACAATTGCTAAGAATTAAACCAAAGTGACTAAATCAATAGCCGATGGAACGCAAGAGGAGGACAGTCTGCAGCGACACTTCCTACTTTCCCAATTTGATTTACATTGCAAAAAATATCACTTCTAACAACCACAGGAGAAAAGGTAATAAAGGAGATGCTGGTATAATATATTGTATAAAAAACAACTAAGGCAGCTTTCTGATCTGACCCTCATGGATGAAAATTATGAGTCCTGAACTATTCAGCCCAAGTGAACGCACAGTCCTCGACACTGCTGTCAGCAACCTTGAAGAAGAAAGACAGGCGTTTACCCTTAGCAGCAGATACCATCTGATGGCCAGTTCATTCCCATATCACCCCTTATCCTGCAAATCCTGCTTGAGACGCATAAAAACCTGCAGCTCACACCTTCAGAAAAACCTCTGAAACCCATGAAGAACAATGCATGTGTGGCCATATAAAATATACAACTTTATTAATAACAACATCTTTCCTACATAGTTATGCCAATTTAAAAATGCTCAAACCACACATGGGGTACCACTTCAAATAAGAGCAGTCGAAAGAATAAGGTCAGACCATCCTACTTTTAATTAACTTCCGAGTTCATTAGAATAATGATGACAAAGGCTTTAATCTGACACAGCTCTCCACTCATCCCAAAATGGGAAGCCTCCCTAACCAGGGAAAGATGACATCTGGCTGCTAGAGCTACAGCCCAAATCCTGCTGGCCATGATTTACCACAAAAGAAATGCAATCCAGACAACTCTGTCAGAGGCACTGCTGATGTGACTGGCCTGCCAGAAAAACATTAAGGAATTTATTTATCCTGCACTGAGTTCCCCTCCTCTCTCTCTCCAGAAAGGAGAAGCGTGAGCAAGAGAGGCTCTTTATCAACTTGTACTTATGGGCCTGACGCATGACAGAGAGTAGAAGACGTGGATTAGGGTCACGCTGCGTGAAAGGGGGAAGCGTGTATGGGTCACACCATTACTGAGCTGTGGACTCAGAAGGGCAGTTCACAGATTAAAAGCGCTGTAGTATCTCCGCTCCAGGAACGGGGAGGGGGCAAGAGCCTCAGCCTACAATTTCTGGGAGGAAAGCCCAAGAAGGGAAGGGGGGCAACCCTGAGTGGCATTCCCTCGGGTGGTACCGTCCGGACGCGTCACAATCCCGCTGTAGGGACGAGGAGGAGGGCCTCAGGCGTCGTTCTCAGTGGAGGAACGGGGGCGACTTTGTTAGGGGCACCCCGAGGCTCACTATACGAGCTGCCGTCGCCTGCGCAAAGAGAGGCCAACACGCGCTTTCCAGTCCCCGAGGGTGGACGACGCGGGCTTCCCGGGCTCCAGTCCCACCCCAACCCACCCCACGGTTACCATTCCCCGTGGGGCAACACAACCCCGCCGCCCTCTGAGTGGTTCCTGTTCAGCGCCATCTTCGCAGCCAGCGACACCAACTGGGGCGGTCCTCCTCTCGCATCCTTCCCCACTTCCCGCGAAGGCGCCCCGCAGCAGCCGTGACCTCCCGGCGCTCCAGCCCGCCTCTTCGCGGGGCGGGGCAAGTGGGAGATTGGCCGGGGGGCCGACGGAGGCGGGGCCTTCCTTGTCACGTGAGGAGGAGGGCGGGGTTAATAACGGAAGTGCACGCCGCCGCGGCGGGGGCGCTTCTAGTTTTGCTGGTTAGTCCAAGGCAGTTGTACTTTTATGTTGGTGTGATTGTAAGAGCCCGACCTCGTGGTAGAAGGGCCGTGACGCAGCAGCCTCGTCGAGTGTGTTCTCCCTAGTCAGGGATGTAATTATTATTATGCTTTATTTATATTTATGGCCTGCCTTTCTCGTTAGGACTCAAGGCGGATTACACCCAATAAATCAAGTCAACAGGGGCATCCAATAGACCAGGGGTACCCAACCTTTTTGAGCCTGCTGGGCACATTTGGAATTCCGACAAGTTATGGTGAGTGCAGCAACAAAATGACTGCCACAGGAGGCAGCGCCAGCCACAAAATGACTGACACAACTTAACTTTCAGTCGCACAGTGCTGATCCTTGTGCTGTGGTGGCAGCTGCCCGACCACTGGAATAATTCAGTTTTACGTAGCCTTTAAAAAGCCAGGAGGTTCTTCACCTCATCATGAAGACCATTCCAGTAACGTGGGGGCCACATTAGAGAATGCGTGTGTACAGGCAGTTGTTGATTTTGTCCATTTGTAGGTTGGTACCTGCAGATGGCCTTGCTCAGAGGAGCAAAGCTGGGTTGGAAAATACCTGGAGATTTGGGAGGGGGGGGTGGAGCTTGAGGAGACCGGGGTTTGGGGGGGGAGGGATTTCAATGAGGTATGATGCCACAGAGTCCCAACTTCCAAAGCAGTCATTTTCTCGAGGGGAACTGATCTCTATCACCTGGAAATCAGTTGTAATCCCAGGAGATCTCTAGTCACCACCTGAAGGTTGGCAACCATACTGTAATGACAGCATAGAGGAAGAGGCAGTCCCACAAATATGAAGGACCAAGGCCGTAGAGGGCTTTGCATGTGGTAGTTGAATAGCCAGTACCTTGAATTATCTTGATAATTGATGGGCAACTCATGGAGTGATTGCAGAATGGAAGTAGTATACATGCTGCATTTGGTTCCCAATAGTAACTGAGCTGCAGTATTCTGCACCAACTGGAGTCTCCCAATTGACTTTGAGAGGAGATCTATGTAGAGCGCATTACAGTAGTTTAGTCTCAGTGTTATCAATAGGGATGGGCATGAACCTAAAAAAGGCGGTTCAAGGCGGCCCATAGACCGAACCCCAAATCAAACAGGCCCCACACAAACTGAACAGGTCTGGCAATTTCAGTTCCCCCTTTCTCCTGTGCGATACACCAGCAGCTGGTTATTGTCACCATCTTCCTCTGGATGATCATGTGTCTCAGCAGTCCAGTTGTTCCTTGGTCACTCATCAAACTGCATCATTCTGGTTGCAGTAATTTGGTTAGTTGTTGGGTCTAGAATTCTGTTGTTGGATTCCATGCTCCCTTAGGAATGCCTGCACTGATCTTGACATGTATTCACCATAGGGTTGTCAGACCCCACCCCGTTGGAGACAACATTCCCCCACTGCCAGGCCCCACCTCTCCATTGCCAATCAGCTGGCTGGCAGAGGGGTGAACTTACCCCCCAAAAGATGGAAATCCATCTGACATGCAGCAACATGTCTGCGTCACTGACACATGACCCAGAAGTGACAAGTGGGCAAATACTCTGTGGTAGAAGCCAAATTTGCCATAGAGTTTTTGCCCAAATACCACAGTGTCACCCTGAACGTGATGGCATCACTTCTGGGTCACGTGGGCAGTGACGTGGACATGTCGCTGTCTGTCAGATAGGCTCCCAGTAAGTCCCCTCATCTCCCGCCTGGCAACCCTAACTCACCAAGAAGAAAATAAAAGGAGGCATCACAGGGCAATTCCCAGGTTAAGACAAAGAGAGGCATCCCATTTAAGGATATAGTGCCTGTAATCATATTCTCATAGTTTTTTATAGTTAATCTTTTATAGTTATATATTTGCTAGTTATTATATGATAGTATAAACCTTGTATAAAGATAAGAAAAATGTTTTTACTGTTTTATTTTTTATGTTTCTTGCTCATGCTTTCCTACCTAGCCCTATAGATAGGAAAAAATGGCAATAGACACAGAAGTATATTATGTTGGCGTATTGATTATCTTACCATATTTTGATTTATGATGCTTTTTCATGTTTTATAATATTATGCAATATCCTTTAAATGCGTTTAACAAATAATATTTTATGCTCTCACTTTTCCCTTTGTCCCTTTTCATTTTGTATCCCTTTAAATGATAAAATTACATATATGAATAAAAGGATATAACACCTGTACACACTTAGAGTGTGGTGCCTCTCCTCCCCCCCCCCCAATGTCCAGGCGTGCTGAGTCACTCACTCCAACAGTTGCAAACATTAGCTTTGACCAAATGAAGGACTTACTGGTATAAATGACTGATGAACCAACTGACCAAATAAAGTAACACACCATTTGTTCAAATGACACTTTGTTTAATCAGACAACAGAACACAATAGAAAGTTAAGTCTACTTACATTTACATCACTGGTATATGTCTGTCATTTTTTTCTCAATTAGGGCTAGACAGATAACAAAGAACTTCAATAGGATACTTTCGTGGGCTGGAGCTATCAGAAGGATCCAGGCTTCATTCATTCCCTCATGCTTTCATATCTTGCTCTAAATTACCTTATAATAATCTACCGGTGTGCCCATGAACTTTATTCCAAGAAGGGTCTAGATTTCCAAAATGCTTGAGTACATCTTGATATGCACAATGACAATGTGGAATTTACAGAGACCACAAGAGGATTCTGCTGATACTTTCTCAAATGGTATCCTTTGCCTCTGTTTATGGCCTTTTGTCCCTGTGTTATCATACAGATCCATGTGTAGCATCAAAGACAGAAAAAAAGAGGAAAACCAAAATATCACCTTCCTAACGTCTTATCACACGGTTGGCACTGCATCATTGTAATACCAGTAATCCAAGAGAGTATTGTTTAGTCAGTTAAGTATTGACATTGGGGGGAGACTGGAATGGAGAATAAGCACACACGCACAAACACAAACCCCTGGCTGCTGCAGAAGACTATGAACACCTGGAGTTCCCATTCTTGGCCACTGAAAGACAAAGGTCTATCCAGACAAGGGGTGTATGCAGATCACTGCTTTCCCCCATAATGGACTGCGTTGACCGGAAGCTTAGATTGAGTATAACATAAATGGGAAATTCTCTGGACTTGCTCAGTTTGGCATGAGAATACAATTCTAAACCTAATTTTATTACATTGCAAGTAAAGTAGCACACAAAAATATTTTTTTGTAGTTTTTAGAGTTATGCAAACAAAAACTGTAGGGCAGGCAAGGAACCCATCAAGACTTCTCCATTTGGGATGCCCAGACCAGTCCAGTCCAAACTTCCTTCATTAAAGAGAAAAATCTTCATTCATTCCTCAAGTGCACTGCTGCCATATAGAACGGAAACAAAACATAACGGAACCAAAACATAATTAAAGTTACAGTGAAAGGAAAAGCAATAGTATCAGTGCCTTGTATATCTTGTATTGTCAGTGAGAGATGCTGTGAGAAGTGAGCTTTTTGTTATGATCTCACCAGTCCTTGCTTGTTTCAGTGCCAAAAAGACAGCGGCTTAAATAGATGGGTACTAATGGCTTCTAGTCGTGCCAGCCACATGACCACGGAAACATCTTCGGACAGCACTGGCTCTTCGGCTTGGAAATGAAGATGAGCACCACAACCCTAGAGCTTTCGAGCAAGGGAAACCTTTACCTTTAATGGCTTCTGCAGCTTTGAAGATACATCTTGCATTAGGACTGTGAATAAACCGGTGAGCATGTTATAGCCATTAAGTGGAGACTGACCTGCTTTAAACTGTTCCATATTACAGCTTTCTGTACATGGTGAGCTGTTTGTGTGTTGCAGTTCACTACATGAATGGACTCCTTTTCTCCACAATGCACATGGCTTGAAAAAACTGCTGGTCCCCTTAATAAATCGTGGTGTACAAACAACTCACCCCATGGAGACAGGCATCTAAGGATGTGACAAAAACACCATACCTTGATGGTCACCCTCATCAGGAGAGAGACAAGGGTGCTGCTTCTACAGGATCTCTCAATGGTTTTCAGTATCACCAGCCATAATATCCTAGATGGGCTAATTGAGATGGGGTTTCAGGGACACAACACTTTGGTGGTACCATTCTTATCCGGCTCACAGCTTCCAGAAGGTGGTGCTGTGGGACAGCTGCTCAACTACATTGCGCTGGGAAGTCCTGCAAAGTTCCATGCTGTGCCCCAAACCATTTGCTTGTAATTGCTGGGAGAGGTTGTATTGTGATTTGGAGGAAGCATCAGAATGCCAGTGACACAGTACTTCATTTCTCCTTTTCAGCAGAGTCTGATGAGATAGCCCAATAGTCTGAACAGATGTCTCAAGGCAGCAATGAATGGGCTAATAAACTGAAATACAGCCCAGACAGGACTGAGGTGCTGATGACTGATAATATGGCTAATAGGAGAGTGAGGATACAATCTGTTCTACAATGGGGATGGCTCTCCGAAAGGGTTTGCCACTTGAGGATGCCATTAGATACATGCCTAAAAACTGATGTACCAAGTTGCTTCTGTGGCATGTAGCATCTTTAACCAACTTCAATTAGTGCAGCAGTTATATATTCAGTTGGGTAGCCATGTTGGTCTGAAGCAGCAGAACAAAGTTTGAGTCTATAAGCTTTCATGTGCATGCACACTTCATCAGATACAATGAAACGGAAATTGCCAGTCCATGTACCTATATGTATGGAATGGTAATTTCCATTTCACTGTGGCTGAAGATGTGTGTGTGCACACAAAAGCTTATACCTTGAACAAAAGTTTGTTGGTCTTAAAGGTGCCACTGGACTTAAACTTTGTTTTGCAGCAGTTACAGCCTTCCTTGAGAAGCAAGATCTGATCATAGCGATCTATGGTCTGCTCTGATCTAGGTTAAGAGGGCTCCAGTACATTCTGCCTTCGAGGGGCATTTAAAACCTTCACTTGGTTCAAAATGCAGCAACAAGATTTTAGCTGGTGTTGATTTCAGTGTTAAGAAAACTCCACTGGTTGCCTATTCATTTCTGGGCACTGTATGCATCTGCCAAACAGTTAAGATCATCTTAAGATGCCCTGCCTCCTCCATCAGGAAGGAGGTGGGTGATCACCAGAGATGGAGCTTTTTCTGTTGTGTCACCTTGTCCTCTACAACCACTTGCCCAGCACTAGTACTGGGGGTGGAGGGGGGGGGGATTTTTCTTTTCCCTGGCATTTGTGACTTAATATTGAAGGTCGTTGGTTATAGTTTATGGCTATATTAATTTGATCTTTAAAAAAAAAACAGTATGTTTTATTGCTCTGACTGTTGCTCTCCTTTATTGTTTAGAACTTCTTTGGCTTCTTGGCAATGGCAATTTTTATGCTTTAGTTCTGTATTATTAATGGTGAGTGTGCCAGACTAGGACTGGGGATACCTGTCTTCAAAGCCCCGGCTCACTGGGTATTCTGGGGCCAGTCATAATCAGTCTAACCTTCTGCACAGGAAACGCAAAGCAGGGAGAACCACGTATGCCACTAGCACCCTCCTTGGAGGAAGAGGGATTAAAAATGTAGCATAAAAATGTTAGTTCTATGCTGTGGTTTTATGCTATTGCCTTATGCTGTAGCTTTATTGTTAATCTTCTGCTACTGTTAATTTTTTTTAAATCATTACATTTTTTTAAAAAACAACCCTTTGTAAACTGCCTTAAAAGTATTTTAGCAGAAAGCAGGCCATAAAATTGTTTTAAATAAAATAAATACAGTAGTTGAATAAATAGCCTCTTATGAAGAACAACTTCTCATGTTATTTGAAGGTTTATCTCACTAGTTTGTAAAAGGACGCAGAATACACAATGGAGGTCTCTTTGTGACTCCCTAGCTCTATGGAATGTCCTCCCTAAAGAGGCAATCCCTTGGCCATATTAGATTAGGTTATTCTGGAAAATACTCCTTTATACATTCTGTTTTAATAATCAGTGGCAACTGTGGACTACTGTGTACTAGATTATATAGTATTGGTGTCAGTCTTTTTCTCGTTATATCTTTACAACTTTGTATACCTTGTGTAGTTGTTAACTACCTTGGTTCCATCTAGAGAAAGACTGGGTATAATTTCTAAATAAATAACTATTGGGCAGAAGGGAATAGTGAGGGTATATGCACTGACATCCGCAAATGAGCAAAGGCTGCTTATTCTTGTGAAAGAGGGAACAAAACTGACCTATATTTTATGGCACTTTGGGAGGCAGTGTGAAACAGTGATGACAGAGGAGGGCTAATATGGGACTCGTTCTACCCAGGCCATTACCTTATCCTAAACCTTCAGCAGGGACTCCCCACACACCTTGATATCTTTTCTCCATAGCCATGAGAGCCAGGCACTTGTTCTTTGTTTAAATAATACATGCTGGAATTGTGAGGGCCAGCATGGAGCTGCCAGATTCCATTTTGGGATGTTGGCAGTTGGCAGCCATGTGGCTCACAAGACCCAGTCTCAGCAAAATCTACAATATGCACAGATCAGGGTAAGGAAGCCACACAATGGAATTAAAGAAGAACATGCCCTAGCTAGTTACACTGTTCCTTCAAAGATTCTTTATGTTGACTGACCTCTGAGTGTACACAGTCTGGGGAATATTCCCAGCATAAGAGGTCCTCTGCTTAGCAGAGAGTTCCCCTCCCATAGTCAAGGGGTCAGAGGGAAGAAAGGCACAAGTGAGCCATGTTGCGCTCTTGCTGTTTTCCGTGGATGCAGCAATCCAAAGGGGATTGTCGCAATCATGGGTTTGTTAAAACATCTTGAAAGTAGCTCCGAGAATGCAGAATAACAAGGAGGATCAATACATATTGGAATTGTAACAGCAACTTAAGAGTGGCATTTATACTTATGACAAAAAAAATTTGCACCATGATTTGAAAGAGATTCCTTTCTTTAAAATGCTGTCCCCCATATCAAGAAATCTACTACTTCTGAATCAATTCTCAACTCCACTTTTCTCTCCACAAATTTACCTCCTTCCAAGGGAAACAAGATAACCCAAACCCTGTCCATCTTCCCCATACTGACACCTTGATTCTACTTGGTAATCAACCCCTCTCATTGATTTCGCTGGAATTTACTTCCAAATGTCCATTTCTCGTGCTTCCACACTGAAAAGTAAGCCTATAGAACAAGAACGGCGTAGCAACCCAATCTCTTCCAGCCCTATGAAACTCACATCCAAAGTATGGCTCTGTAGTTCCTGTAGTGCGTTCAACATCTTTACACCAGTCTCATTTTTCCCTTGCAGACATTCCAAGTGACCCCAGAGATCAAATCACTTCCCTTCAATATTTCCCACAATCATGATGCCCAGTTGAGAGTCTTGGAATATGTGACAACGGAAGACTAGTGTCTGCTGTGCAAAATACAAAATTCATATAATAAAAAAGAACCAGACTGGGACATTTGGGGAAAGCTGGGAGCTGTGCCCCTAGTTCTTTCCTCATATGCACACACAAAGGATATTCCACATGCTTCAAAGAGAGGCCTGAATTCAAATCAAAGGTAAGGGTGGTGTGGTGGCTATAATTCATAGACAGCAGGTGATAGCAGACCAGGAGGGGTCATTCACAGATTGCTTTCATGATTTTCTTCTATCTCTACGGTCACCGGCGGAAGCCCCCCATTGTCATTCAGTCGTTTAGCCCTGTAAGTTTCATAGTGGATGTTGTGTGTTACCTCCTTTAGGTCTTGAAGGTGGGTCCTGAAGAATACATGAGGAAAAGAAAAGGAGAAAAGAGAAGAAAGTTCACTAGATAAGTCATGTGATGTTCAAGTAGTTCATTGCATTAAAGGACAACTATCAGCAGAGTTCATCGAACAGTGGTAGTTTGCCATTTCACAGCACGTTCATTTATTCAAATGTATTTCTGAAGGATGCAGGGGGGCCCCCTTTTGTATCCCAACAACTAGAGTTTTGAACATGGGGGCTCCATTTAGGTAGCATGGCATCATCTAACCTCCATGAATTTAATCATCTTTTAAATTTACCTTTTATTGTCTGTGACCATCACTGTCTGTTATGGCAGTGGGTTCCAGAAATGTATGCCCCAAGTAAACTCCTGAAAATGGTAAATCAGTTTCACTGATGGACTAGGAGTGCCATCCTTAACAGAGTTATACCCTTCTAAACCCATTGACTTCAGTGGATTTAGAAGGACGTAACTGTCTTGGAGAGCACTGTAAGTTCTCGTCTTACAAAGCAGGGAGAAAAATCTCTCTGTGCACTTTCTCTATATGATTCATAATTTAATCAACTTTTAATGTCCCACCCTTTAGTTGTCTTTTTCTAAAAAATTTTTTAAAGATTGCTGAATGTTTTATCCTTTCCTGATCAGGATGGTGCTCACACCCCTTAATCATTTTAGCTGCTATTTTCATAAACTTTTACAGCTTTATGATATATTTATTTTTGCTACACCAAATCTGTATGCAATATTTATGCAACTGTACTATAGACTGATGTAATAGCATAATTATACTGGTTGCTTTATTTTCAATCCTTAGTGTGGACCTTGCCCTTTTCACTGCCACGGCACTAACAAATTGATCCCAACAGGGTATAGGAAGTCAGGATGTTTGATCCCCTGCATCACATCTAATCACACTAATCTTATTTACCAGTTTCCCCCCATTTTTAACAAGTTTGGGGAAATGCTTCACATTGTCATCCTAAATACATTGGTGTTCACAAATAGCTACTTTGCTCATTCTTGATTCCAAATTATTTATTAATATTAACACTAGTCCTACTGTAGTTCCTTGGGGGACCTCACAACTTACTTCACTCAACTGAAAGTACTTTCTAAAGGTAACTTTATATGCATTTGTAGCAAAGTAAGCACAAAAGAAGTTCTTGTTCTAATGATTTCTAGTCTTTACAGTTCCAGGGGGCGTAGGCAGGATTTTTTTCTTCGGGGGCATCTTAATAAGTCAGGGGCACTCCTGCACACAGCCCTGTGAGCCAACCAGCCCTTGACTCACCCAGGAGGGAGGAACTGATGCTGCTGTGCACACATGAGAACAAGAAAGGCCGATTCCCACCTGCACACTCCAGGCAGGAAGGAAGTGACCTCCCCACCGTGCTTTCCTGGTGGCCTCTCTAGGGTTTCAGCCTCACTGGCCTTCCCTATTGTGATCCCAAGAATACCAGGAGGCTGTGATGATGGCGGGGAGGCTGTGAGCTCCTCTGTGGCAGCACTCTCCATCCGGCCTCCAGCCCAGCCGTGTCCTACCCACAGGGCTACCTCTACCAGCTGCCAGGCTTGCTAGCGCTCACAGGTCAGGGTGATGGCTTGGCAGAAAATAAAATATGAAATAAAATAAAGTTGGGAGGCCTGAGCAGTAAGTTGGGGGACCCGGCCTCGAGATGCCCCACGGTAGCTACAGGCCTGCTCAGTTTGGATATTCTGACCTGTGGTGTTCTTTTCTTGATATTCATTGTCCATAAAGGTATTGTCTTTTGTAATTAATTATGGTTCAAACAGACTGTCTTTTGTCCGAAAGGTCACCAATTCATTCATTTGGATGTGATTTCTGAATGAAATGCAAATGTATGCTATCTGCTTAATTTACATCTGAGGTAAATGGAAAAAACAGATGCAGGAATTTAATTTGTATTAATATGTTTTTTATGTTATTATCAGCAGTTGTTATGGTCCGTGGCCTGTCAAATGGCATGGAACTGAATAAACAGACAACCCAGAATGAAGCCAACATTTCTATCATTGTAGAGTGTTTGCTGTTCAGTAAAATTGAGAGTAGTTTTAAATGGCTTCAAAAGGCTTAAAATTCTACTCAGACAGCAACTCTAAACAGTTCTACTTAGAAACCTACTTGGGTATATTCAGTGAGGCTTCCTCCCATGAAAGTGTTCTTGGAATTGCACTGTAACTTCACTGGACCTGTAGTGCAATAGGTCACTTATAGTGCCATTCTTAGCAGAGTTACATCCTTCTAAATCTATTGACTTCAGTTGACATAGAAGGATGTAACTCTGCTTAGGATAGCAGTGTTTATAATGTGAGATTGGAACACACCTCTGATTAGGGGTCATTTTGTAGAAAAAGAGGTGCAGGAGCTCATTAGCATAAGCCACACCCCCTGACATCTCCCTTCCCTTCACCTCCAAGCCGGGCGAAGGAAAAGGGGGGGGATCTCAAGTGCTTCTGCCTGACAGAGGGGCCAGCCCAGCAGGGTGGGCCAGGGAAGGCCGAGGGGCCTTTCTACAGGCCTTCCCCGGCTCACCTGCTTCAGTGGGCGGGCTGGGGAAGGCACGGGGAGGCATTTAAATGCCTCACAACTCTTTGCAGGGCCTTCCTTAGCTTGCCCGCCTTGGCGGGCAGTCCAGGAAAGGCTAGGGGGGCCTCTCTGCAGGCCTTCCATGGCTCACCCACTTAAGCGGGAAGGCCGGGGGGAGGGGCTCTCTCCAGGCTTATTACTGCAAGAACGCCATCCCGGCTCGTTCCAGCTAGAAATGACCCCTGCCTCTGATGGCCATTCTATTTTAGATCCTGTCATCAATTTTTCTCCGTCTCAATAGGCGATATTGGGTGATTCTGCATTGGCTTTTCCCTCCATTGTTTTAACAAAGGTGCAGCTCAAACCCACATTCAAACACCCCAGGGCAATGTCATACTGACTGTGAAGTCGCCCCTGAATGGCTATAAATCTATGCAGAAGGTACCATAAAACCCAATGATCAAAGAAAGTGAAAGCCGCATACAGTGCAGAGGGGAATTTCTGTTCCAAGGTGGGTTTGGTAAAACAACGGAGGGAAAAGCCAATGCAGAATTACCCATTCTTTACCTAAGAACAAACAGACTTACCTTATGACAAAATCACGGAGTAGGGCAAATTCACAGTGATTGAGATTTTCCACTGTAAATAAAGCAGAATACATTAATCATGTTTTATTTTGGAATCAGAAGGAATCCATCAAGCCTAATCCTTTTCTCAATCAGCAGTGATGAAAGTAAGTAGCATGTTTTTCTAGAACTCCTATATTGTCTGATTGGTGTTCTCTGATGGTTAAAATGTTTTTTCAGAACTCCATTATGTTTTGTGTTTTTTTGTTGTTCAGTCGCACAGTCGAGTCCGACTCTTCGCGACCCCATGGACCAGATCATGTCAGGCCTTCCGGTCTTCCGCCATCCTCTGAAGTTTGCTCAACTTCATGTTCATTGCATCTATGACACTGTCTAACCATCTCATTTTGTGTTTACTTTCTAGAAATTCTGATGTACTACCAAGCTCCTAATTTTTAAGATTCCCCTCCTGCATTTTTACTTTCCTGTACGTTAAACTGGTAGTTTCATTAACCTCAGCATTTAATATAAATTGCCTTATTTCTAATACTCTTTGGAGCATGTAAAAACTGTCAACACATTTTCCATTTACTTTTGTGATTTGCCTGATAAATTCTTTTTTTAAACATCATCACTCTCCTCAGTCTCTTTTCCAATTTGGGAACTGTGGTATCCAGAAGAAAACAGCTTTCCAGTCAACATTTTGCCAGCGCAGAGTAGTACTATGGCTTAGCAAATCTGGAAATAACAAGTCTTCTGATTATAACAGCTAATAGTATGGTCCTGCTTTGCCATAGCATCCCATCCTAGAATTTGTTATTACTAAAAACCTCAAATCCTTTTAGAAGTAGTAGAGCCTAGCAAGGTACTGACCAAATATGTGCAGTTGACTCTTCCTTTTTTGTAACCTGTAATATTTCTTCATATGGTTTTCCATGTTGCAACAGAACTTACTGTTCTGTTGTTTTGCCTGGCCCCTAAAAGTATAAGCAATCCATTCCAATTTTGTACCCTTAGGTTGCAGTCAGACGTGCATTTAGATCTGATATAGCTGCTGATGCCTGACGGATCTAAAGTACATGTTCACAGAGCAACATCTGTGAATGGTTCTGCAGTCGCTGACACCCCGTTCTGCCCTGCCTCTAAAATGAATAGACACTGGGGAAAGTCCAGTCCTAATACTTGCTGATGGGCCACGGACAGATTTTCCTTAGTCTGATCACTCAAACATGCTTTCAAGCTGTCAGGATGGTCTCCTCATTCCATCCTGACAGCACCATTTTTTTATCACTTGGGGATAAGTGGATAACCACATAATTGTTCCACAGCCGCGGAGCCCTGCATGTGCACTTCTGACCAAAATAAAGTATTTCAAGAGCCAACGGTTATTTTTTTGTTGAGGATTGTTTGTGAGGTAGTTTTTTCTCCACTGATCACTGCTGAGGAACCCACCCCCAATAGTTCCTATTCCATACACCATATCGTCGAACCCTCGGTTATGTGCATGCGCAAATAACTTTTTAAAAACTGGCTTGCCCGACCATACCATCTAATCATCCAATGACGGATTGAGCCCACAGTAAAGCAGATTATGCTGGGATGTCTGATCGAATGTCTCCATGTCAAATAACAACGGATGAAATGAGGAACGCATCCCCAACGCGGTAAGTGTCCCATCTGACTGCAGCGTTAGTAACTCTGGTAAACACATCCCTTGCTTCATTGAAATCATTAATGTTATCTCTTATCTCTCCATTAAAGGAGAGACAAGAGACAGTCCCAGGGAGAAAAAGGCAACAGGAAAGACTTCTTCCCAAGTACCTTACTGGTACCATTTTAACATTTGCTGATGACATCAATGATTTTGCCACTTTGCTATCTGCAACTTACTGGTATTTATAAATGAGACTCAAAAATAAAAGGGCCATCATTTATTTACCTTCAATGACTCCCCAGGGTGTCTTCCTGCCCAGGACCCTTTTTCCATTCACTTGATATTCTTTGTCACTGCCCACCACTGCAAATGGCATACTTTCCTGCTACCTGCTGAGATCAGATAAATTGAGTTTAAATTGGATTTGCTCTTCTGTGGAACAGGTACAGACATCTGGAAAGCTTCTTTCTGTCCTTATCACCACCACCCTCTTCTAGCATACATTTATTTGCAGAACATTACATACATGCTATAATTGCTGGCCAAAATATGCTCATGTTCTCTTAAGTTCTAATTCTTTAAGCCTTTCATATTCCTTTAATTCATTATTGAATTATTTTAATATTCTTTTCTGTGCATTATGTAGCTATGTGAAGGACCTCTCTTTGTTACACTAATATTTATTTTGCTGGTTGCTTTCCAACTATGCACAAAATTCTCACATAAGGATTCAGTGATGAGCAAAAAGTCACTTGCAGACATCAGTTATATTTAACACAGGGAGCGTGTTTACTTTACAAGTCTAATGTGGGCTAGTTCCAAATGAAGTTGATTTAATAATGTGGAACTGGCCAAGTGTGCCCATGCTGAAAACATCTGGAAATCTATTTACAGTGCAACTGGAATTCAGTTAAGGCTGTAAATCTTTCAAGAGAGATTAATTTCCCCGCAAGAACCTGTAAAATACATACGTGTGTAGACAAAGTCATATAAACTCTTGATACAGGTAACAAAACATAAAGTTTAATTTTCAGCTGAAGAACTACCAAAAATAAATGCATAGGAGCTATGTACAGAATAACTCATGATTTACTCCTCCTCAGTGGCTGTAGCTTATGCAACCCATGTCCAGAGCAAACAAGGTGAAGAGAAAAGTATGCACTTAATAATGATGCTTCCACTTTCTGCAGAAATGAACTTATTCAACAGTCAATCACAAATATGAGCATCCTACCCTAATTTTGTCATTCTCTGTCTTATCTTCAAGGTCTTCATCAAACTCTTTCTGGGGATAAAATTCAATTCCATGGACTTCTAGTTCTTTGCGTACCTGGATAGGAAAACATTTCAAAATAAAAAGATATATGCAGAGAAAATATTTCTGTCACAACACTGAAGGGTGTTTTTCCCCAAATAAGGAGACACTTACCCTCTGTTTGAACTCAATCTTCTCCTCCATAGTCATGGTGTCTGCTTTGGCAATAACTGGGATGATGTTTACTACTTTGCTCAAGTGCTTCATAAACTCTAGATCCAAGGGTCGCAAGCTATAGCCCAGGAGGAAGAATACTATCACTTCTTTAATAAAGAAGAACATATCTTCCAATCCCTAGCCTCCATAAAATTAACCCCCTCTTAGTTTCTAGGCTGGAAAAATGAACAGGAATCATTCCCATCTGGGGCTGTAAGCACTTTCTTGTTAACTTCCTTCCACATAGCCATTGCCCCCTCAAGCAATCAACTGAACCCCCCACAATGGACAGGGAAAGAAATAAAGAAGAAATAGGGAGACTGTAAAGGTATAAGGTATAAGAAATAGTGTGGGAATACTGGTTTACACACTACAATGTAGGAAGATCACGCAAATGTTTGTCCTGTCAAGTATACACTTGTTGGAAATCTATATCCAGTGGTAGGTTCCCACAAAGTGTGCACCTGAAAAAAATAGATTTTCTGTCATGACAAGGTACACAAGCTCACATGAACTCTTCCCTGAAACAGTGTACACTAGGATTGCCAGGCTGCAGCCAGCAACTACTGGGAGGAATTGGGGGCATCTCACTACTGAGACATTGGCAGGAGGAAATCGGGGGGGTGGATCACATGTTGGCATCATGCTGGCAAGCTGACATCATTTCCTGTGATGTCATTATGCACTATAGAATTTACAACAATTCTATGGTTTTAAATTCTAGAGCATCTGTATAGGAAAATTGATTTCTAAAGCCTTCATGTATCCCTTGTGATGTTATAGAGTTTCATGTTCCCCTTGTGTGATTCCTGGAAGTTTCATGTTCCCCTTAGGAATGTATCTGGCTTGACCATTTGTCCAAATTGCCCCCATAAATCCAGATGCCTCAGCGGAGCATGGAGAAAGGTACGTAGGCCAAGGACTGGCATCATCTTACTGCCGGAGGATGACTGCTACTCCCTAACTGGCCATACCCATTTACCATAGCAACGCCAAATTTGGAAAGTACCTGTCTCGTTGGATTGTCTAATGGCCAAAGCTAATTCTAATGAGATTGGGGATCAAATTGGCTAACCCTTGGAGCAGAGCTCACTTTTTTTTGGCTTACTTCTGAATGTACCCTGAAATGCTGTATCTCTGTCATGTGCTCTCTGGGAAAGAACAAAGGATTTCTAGAGCACATGGCAGGGACCCTGGACAAAGATGGGACTTAGATGGACTTGTTACAATGGACTGTCTTGAACTATGGAACACCCTGGTAACTATGTAGATCTTTAATGTTTAGTAAGGGCCACAGAGCCATAGGATTTCTTGTTTTAATGTCTTTTCTAGTCTAATTGCAAGTTCTGTGTCAAATAAACTTTATTCTGTTTATAACTTGTGTGATGATTGATGGGCAAACTGACTCTAAGGCTAAATCCTTGGGCCGAGCTGGCTGTGCTACCATTAAATCTAAGAGTGCATCTCTGAGGAGGTGTTGAAGCTGGGCATAGTTGTATTGTATTGTGAAAAGGCAGGAGTTCTCCCCTCATTCCTGGACAGGCGTGGGGGTAGGATCCTGTACAGCATCTACACCATTACTCCCAGTTTTTACTGGAAGTGGTGTCAGCGAGTCTGCATGATGACAGCATGTATTCCACCACCAAGACCCATTTTCTCCTGCCAGCGCCTCAACAGCCTGGCATCCCTAGTGTATCCCCGTATATGAAGAACATCATGTGTGAAATGGCCTGAACAATATGCCACCATGGCAGCTTCCTTCCATTGATGAAAGTGGGCAGGAATGAGCAGGCACTGATTACTAGCAAAATAATACAGAACTCCAGAACACACATTTCACCTATATTCATCACTAAGCTTAGAAGGTTTCTAGAAGGTTTCTTATGCTTCCCATACTTACACTGGGACATTTTTGTACTTTGTTCCCTGGCAGGCTTTATCATGTGTGCTGATGCTTAGGTCCCTTGGTCTGCCATGGCACTTATTGGGTGATTTGTGTGCACTGCAGATGGGTACCAAGCGGTTGGTGGGTATCATGGATGCTCAACTAGCACAGCAGAGCTGCCCCCATCATATTGACATACTCTAGAGCTACTGAGAGATACATACGAGTGACCTGTGGGAGAGATAAAGTAGATGCAACAGTGAACTCTTGTGTCCGGGATTCGTTTCTTCCTTGCTATATTCACTTCCTCCTTCAGAAATTTCTCATACTGCTCATTGATGTATTTCTCAATGGGCTCCCAGCTAAGAGGCCAAGGAAGAAAGAGAGAAGAAAAGGAGACAGATAAAATCTCTTTGTCTCCCACTAGGAAGTCCTGCACGGGACAGTTGTGCGGGTGCTGGTGTGACACATAGGGCTGCCAGCCTCCAGGTGGGGCCTGGAGATCTCCCAGAATTACAACTGGTCTCCAGATAACACAGATCAGCTTCCCTGGGGAAAATGGCTACTTTGGTGGGTGGACTCCAAGACTCCAAGGTCCCCAAACCTCACCCTCCCCAGGCTCTCCCTCCCAAATCGCCAGGAATTTCCCAACCTGAAGCTGGCAACCTTAGCAACAGGGTATGTTATGTTCAACACAAAAGCAGAAGAGAAGCCATCATGCCATGCCAATACTCTAGGATTGTGCCCAACATTCCACAGTATTTCATCCAGTAGTCTGAACAGCAATGGGGAAGAACCATTCCAGAAAGTCTTCCACTATAGCACCCCCTGCACCATTTTGAGTAGTGGGGAAACACATTAAGGAATTTTTAAAAGACCACGATTTTATATTGTGTATAATACTATAAGAACAGATGATACCCAGCTCTATTTCTCCCTGAGCCAGGTGGGTCTGCAGAAATCCTGAAGAATGGACTTCCACTAAACCGAAGCTCAGGCCAAACATGATTAAGGTACAGTTGATCAGTGAAGAAGCCTTCCAAAGATTAAGAATCAGAATTCTGGAGGGGACTGGGCACGTCCATTGTTTGAGGGTCCTTCTAGGTCCTAGGATCCTATGGTTGGAGGCTCAACAAGAGCATCCTTTTAAGTACATGATGTGGGAGATATGTGATTCTCTTGCCTACCACCCCTTGACATAGTGCTCCAGCCAACTGCTCCTGTGATTCACACTCAAGGTTGCTGTAATCCACTAGAGGATTTCACCTATGGGGTATTGTCTACATGTGGTCAAAACTCTATATCTCACATTAACCCTTATGCACCGAACATCCTTGACCAGCTCTCAAGTTAAAGGTAAAGGTTTCCCTTGCTTGAAAGCCAGTCGAATCCGACTCTAGGGGGCAGTGCTCATCTATGTTTCCAAGCCAAAGAGCCAACGCTGTCCAAAGGCATTTCCATGGTCATGTGGCTGGCATGACTAAATGGCGAGGTGCATGCAACGCTGTTACCTTCCCACCGAAGCAGTACCTATTTATCTACCTGCAATTTATTGCTTTCGAACTGCTAGGTTGGCAGGAGCTGGGGTCAGAGACGGGAGCTCACTCCATCACGTGGCACTAGGGTCTTGAACTGCCAAACTACAGACCTTCCAGTCTGCAGCTCAGCATCTTAACCTCTGAGCCACTGTGGCCCCATCTCAAGTTAACTGGTAATTAATGCCATACTAACATCAACCCTGGAGTGCCAAATAATTGGATTTATGGGGCATATCATGTCCACTATCTTTCAAGCGTGGAACCTTAGAGAAAGACAATTCTAATCCCTGACTATGCTAAGTGCATGCATACACATTTATAATCATTCAGGAGACGGGGGAAAGGACAGATGGAACTGAGAATCAGTGAAAGAAACAAAACACTTACCAGTTTTCATTGTTGATCTGGTCACCAAATCCAGGGGTATCAATAACTGTCAACTTCATTTTGACACCACCTTCTTCAATAACTAGGGGAGAAATGTTGCCGTTACCATCCCTCAAAACTCTCTCTTTTGTAATAGTGGCATGAAGCCCTTTTCCATCATTGAGCAGAAAAGGCCCCTCTAGAACTATAAGTCCCTGTGGCTCTTCTAGAAATAATTATCTTTATCCAGGGCAGAAATCACTTGTGCTTTATAAAGCACAGGAACTTTCAAATGCAAGTGTTACTAAAGCTTTCTGCATGACTATCAGTCAATTAAAAAAAAAAGCACCATGATACAAGCATATTTAAAACACTGGTTTTTTAACATATATATACCATCTGCAGAAGGAAGGCTGGAAAACACGTTAAATGGCACATGTAAATTTGGTCTAAGACTTTGTGGAATGGTAGAAGGAGAGCACTGCATGTCTGGATCCTTTGCAAATGTTTAGGAGCATGAAACAATTTTCATCCACACTAAGGCTTATTGAGGAAATAGCAGAGGAAAGTAGGAAAGCGAAAGGCAAAGGCGAAAAGGAAAGATTTACCCAACTGAATGCAGATTTCCAGAGAACATCAAGGAGAGATAAGGAGGCCTTCCTGAATGAACAGTGCAGAGTAATAGAAGAAAACAATAGAATGGGAAAGACTAGAGATCTCTTCAAGAAAATTTGAGAAATCAAGGGAGCGTTCCATGCAAAGCTGGCCATGATAAAGGACAAAAACGGTAGGGACCTAACAGAAGCAGATTAGGAAAAGATGGCAAGAATACACAGAAGAACTATACAAGAAAGACCTCGATGTCCTTGACAACCACGATGGTATAATCACTGACCTCGAGCCAGACATCCTGGAATGTGAAGTTAAATGGGCCTTAGAAAGCATTACTAACAACAAAGCTAGTGGAGGTGATGGTATTCCAGCTGAGCTATTCAAAGTCTTAGAAGATGATGCTGTTAAAGTGCTGCACGCAATTTGCCAGCAAATTTGGAAAACGCAACAGTGGCAACAGGATTGGAAAAGGTCAGTATACATTCCAATCCCAAAGAAGGGCAATGCCAAGGAATGTTCAAACTATCGCACAATTGCACTCATATCACACGCTAGCAGGGTCATGCTCAAGATCCTACAAGCTAGGCTCCAACAGTACATGGATAGAGAACTGACAGAAGTACAAGCTGGGTTTTGAAGAGGTAGAGGAACCAGAGATCAAATTGCCAACATTCGCTGGATTATGGAGAAAGCAAGAGAGTACCAGAAAAACATCTACTTCTGCTTCATTGACTATGCTAAAGCCTTTGACTGTGTGGATCACAACAAACTATGGCAGGTCCTTAAAGAGATGGGAGTACCAGACCACCTCACATGTCTCTTGAGAAACCTGTATAAGGGCCAAGAAGCGACAGTTAGAACCGGATATGGAACAACTGATTGGTTCAGCATAGGAAAAGGAGTACGACAAGGATGTATATTGTCACCTTGCTTATTTAATATATATGCAGAGTACATCATGCGAAATGCTGGCCTGGATGAATCACAAGCGGGAATTAAGATTGCTGGGGAAAAGATCAACAACCTCAGATATGCAGATGATACCACTCTAATGGCTGAAAGTGAAAAGGATCTAAAGAGCCTCTTGCTCAGAGTAAAAGAGGAGAGCGCAAAAGTGGGCTTGAAGCTCAACATCAAAAAAACTAAGATCATGGCATCCGGCCCCATCACTCTTAGCAAATAGAAGGGGAAGTCGTGGAAGTAGTGACAAACTTCACGTTCCTGGGATCCCAGATCACCGCAGACTGTGACAGCAGCCATGAAATTAAAAGACGCCTGCTCCTTGGGAGGAAAGCGATGGCGAACCTAAACAGCATGATAAAAAGTAGAGACATCACCCTGCCAACAAAAGTCCGCATGGTCCAAGCAATGGTATTCCCAGTAGTCATGTATGGCTGCGAGAGTTGGACTATAAGGAAGGCCGAGCGCCGAAGAATAGATTCTTTTGAACTATGGTGCTGGAGAAGACTCTTGAGAGTCCCTTGGATTGCAAGAAGATCAAATCAGTCAATCCTAAAAGAAATCAACCCTGACTGTTCCCTGGAAGGCCAGAGAATGAAACTGAAGCTCAAATACTTTGGCCACCAAATGAGAAGGGAGCACTCACTGGAGAAGACCCTGATGCTGGGAAAGATTGAAGGTCAAAGAAGACGGGGACAGCAAAGGATGAGATGGTTAGACAGTGTCATCGATGCAATGAACATGAAATTGAGACAACTTCAGAGGACGGCGGAAGACAGGAGGGCCTGGCGGGAGCTGGTCCATGGGGTCGCGAAGAGTCGGACTCGACTGTGCGACTGAACAACAACAACAAAGGCTTATTGATTCATGGCACATCATCATCACTAGATAAGTGGGCCTTTAATTTTTGGCAAATATACTATGTACTGCTTTGTATTACCAGGTCCAGATTAGTCACACTGTCTCCAAACTGGCCTGCCTATTTTCAGCACTAGGAGCACATGAGAATGTGGACTGGTATAGTATTGCCCAATCTCATCAAATCTGAGAAGATAAGCAGTGTTGGTACTTGGATGGGTGACCACCAGAGAAGAAAGCATTTGACTAATCACTTGCCTTGAAAACCCTAGGGGGGGGGGTGGAGTTGCCAGCTCTGGGTTGGGAAATACCTGGAGATTTTTTGGGGGGGAACCTGGAGAGGGCAAGGTTTGGGGAGGGACCTCAGCAGGGTATAATGTCATAGAGTCTACTCTCCAAAGGAGCCATTTTCTCCTGGGGAACTGATCTTGGTCATCTGGAGATCAATTGTAATAGCAGAAGATCTCCAGGTACCACTTGGTGGTTGGCAACCCTATGGGGTCACCATAAGTCAGCTGCAACTTGACACCACATTACATACGCACAGGAGCACATGCACTCCACTTTGATCCTAAGCATTACTTCCTAATATGCCCTGTGGCTTTCCCTCCCTGAGAGCTTTCTGACATGTAACACAAGTAGATCAGTTCTCTTTGGCCTGGCACACACAGTGACCACACAACATTTAAATTGTGGTCAGGACAGTGGGAAATAGAACAGGAAGAAATGGAGCAATTGTGAAACGAAAGCTTCTCTAGCTTACACTTTTAAACCCCCTCCAGTCTGGCTTTCGCCCAGGCCATGGGATGGAGATGACACTGGTCGCCCTCACAGATGGTCTCCGGAGGCATCTGGATAGGCGTGGATCGGCAGTGCTGTTGTTGTTGGACCTGTCAGCAGCATTCGACACAACCATTAGCTACTGGTCCACCGCCTCGCCGACACTGGAATCCAGGGGGCTGCCTTGCAATGGCTCGCCTCCTTTCTCCAAGGTCGGGGACAAAGGGTGGTGCTGGGGGAACAGCTATCCCGAAAGCACCCACTGGATTGTGGAGAGCCCCAAGGGGCTGTGCTGTCCCTGATGTTATTCAGCATCTACAGGTGCCCCCTTGCCCAGATTGCACGGAGACATGGGTTGGGATGTCACCAGTACGCAGATGACATCCAGCTCTATCTGTTGCTGGGTGGTCAGTCTGACTCTAGATCAGAAGATCTGGACCGGGCGTTACAAGATGAGGCTGGATGGCTTAGGCTGAGCCAACTGAAATTGAATCCAACGAAGACGGAGGTCCTGTGCCTGAGTCAGGGCGGACTGAGGATAGGCATCCCACTCCCATGGGGATCCGTTGGTCCCAGCACCGGAGATTAGGAGCTTGGGAATGCTCTTGGATACCTCCTTAATGATGGAGGCCCAGGTAGCAGCCACTGCCAAGTCAGCCTTTTATCATCTCCGGCTGATTAGGCAGTTGGTTCCCTTCCTTGAACGCAACGACTTGGCAACAGTGATCCACGTGATGGTCACCTCAAGATTGGACTACTGTAATGCTATCTACATGGGGCTGCCCTTGTCACAAATCCGGAAGCTACAACTAGTGTAAAATACTGCAGCCAGGCTTTTAATGGGTCTCCCAATGCGGGAGCACATTCAGCCTGTGCTGAAGGCATTGCACTGGCGACCAATAGCATACCGAATTTGCTTCAAGGTGCTGGTTCTTACCTTTAAAGTCCTTTATGGCCAGGGACCTACATATCTGAGGGACCACCTTTCCCCACATGGTCCCCAGAGAGCACTGCGATCAGGGTCCCAAAACCGACTGACCCTCCCCAGACCCAAGGAGGCCAGGCTGGCTATAACCAGGGCCAGGACCTTCTCGGTGGAGGCTCCTTTCTGGTGGAATGAGCTCCCAGAAGAGATCAGGGCCCTGCGGGACCTCATGCAGTTCCGCAGGGCCTGCAAGATGGAGCTCTTCCACCAGGCTTTCAACTAGGAGCTGCCCCCAACAAAGAACCCTGTCCCCTGAAGACATTAGAACAGCCTGTGCCAGCTGCACAAAGATCAGATCTATGGGTTGACCACCAGGACAGAGCATCAAAGGTCGTCCACTATCTTTTAATTCATTTAACCATCTGATAATTTATTAGTATTATAATGTTAGCACCTTTTAATGTTGAGTTGTTTTACGTGGTTTTAGGATTATTTAAATTGTCTATCTGTTGTTTTATTCCTTTGTAAGCTGCCCTGAGCTGGGTCTGGCCGGGAGGGCGGGGTATAAATCTGATAATAAATAAAAAATAAATAAAATGATTCTAACCTTAACAAAACAAGAGTTGCCTTCTGGAATTCTGCTGTGCTGATGTGCATGATCAGAGTACTTGCCCAGCACCTATCCAAGCTGATACATTTGAAGATATATCTCTAACCTTTGTTTTTATCTTCTGAGTGCATAGCCCTCTTACACCTGGTTTGGCAACTATCATTTTGTCTCCTTTTTAGGGTCAAAACACACAGCACAATATCTATGATTCAGGACATGGGTGCCTGACTTGACTCACGGTTATACATTCAAGCAGGGGCTAACTTCATTGTTTGGTGTAGTGGTTAAGTGCGCGGACTCTAATTTGGAGAACCGGGTTTGATTCCCCACTCCTCCACTTGCAGCTGCTGGATGACCTTGGGCAAGCCGTGGTTCTGTCAGACCTGTTCTCTCAAGGACAGTTCTTGAAAGAGCTCTCTCAGCCCCACCTACCTCACAGGGCATCTGTTGTGGGGAGGGGAAGGGAAAGGAGTTTGTAAGCCGCTCTGAGACTCCGAGTGAAGGGCAGGGTATAAATCCAATCTCCTCCTCCTCCTCCTCCTCCTCCTCCTCCTCCTCCTCC